AAAGTTTGAAATTTTATCATAGAAAGCGAAAAAGAAATAAGTAGGTAAATAAATAAAGATTATATATATTAGAATATTTAATGCATATTTTATAAAAAGAAGTAATATTCTAATTAAAAATATTTGAATTTTAAATTAGAATAATTTTTAATAATGAAAAAAATAATTAAGAAAGTTTATAAAAATTAAATAAAAAACTATGTTGATAAAATGTAATTTTTAGTAAATGTCTATAATTCTCCTTCATATTCTTCAATAAAATAAACTCCAAATGAAGCGAAATAAAATTATTTTATGATAAATTTGATAAAAAATAGAAATTAAATAATAAATTGAGAATTAATTTAATCAAATTCCAGACTATGTTAAAGTTAAAAAATAAAAAGATTAATTAAAAAAATGAAATAAGAAATTAAGTCAAATTATTTTACAAGTTGGAAATCAATTCAAAATTTAAAAACTAAATAGTGATAAAACTTAGCTTAGCTTTTATCACCTTCAAAACTATTAAAAGTAGAATATATTTAATAAAAAGAAGATTAAAAAATAATAAAAATTTAAAAAAATAAGAAATTCTTTATGAAAGAAAATAAATAAAAAAGATTTTAAAAAAGAAAAGAATTGATAATGAAAGCATTATTAACTGAAAATTTATTCATAAAATATGGAACTATTAAAAATTAATTATAAAAAATTTATTCGAAATAAAAAGGTGAAGAAAAATTAGATAAAGATAATTAAAACAATTCTAATTGCTAGTTTGTTTTACACTAATTTTATTGAGCAAATCAAATATAAAATACATATTATACATATTATTTTTTTAGTGCGTAGTATTTATTATTAATAATTATTATTCTTACCTCTATTTATAAATTCATAAACAAATTCATTAAACTATTATTTTTAAATCATTCATTCATTCATTTATTTATTTATTCATTCATTTATTATTTATTTTATTTTAATTTCTTTCGTACTTTAATTTTCAAAATTACTCAACTATTAATGCTTCTTTTAAGATATATTTTTGTTAGTTATCACGTAAATAGAAATATAAACATAGATCTTTTTAAGATAGATTTTATTTTTTTTCATCTTAGATTACAACTTAATAGGAATAATCTGGGTAATTTAATACCTCAACTTACTATCCTTCTAGCCAAACTCTCAACTCTAAAGTAATATTTTCATCTAGCAATTATGTCTTATTTCCTTTTACAAATTTATCAATTCCTTAATATCCTTCGTAATTCATCTTATTGTTTTAAATTTTAAAAAAGTAGCTAATTCCATCAAAATATCCTTTATTGTTATTGAAATTCTCATTTTTCATTAATCCTATTATAAAGTAACCACTATTTCCCTTTTGAAATTAAATCCTAAATATGTATTTTTTATCTCTTTCCAATATCTGAGAAATGCAATTAGTTTCGTTACCTTTTTAAATCCCTTAGTAGTTAGTTTCATTTAAAGAAATTTCAAATTAATTATTCATATTTTTAACTATTTCTATTCGTTAGTTTCCATCATTAAAATTGCTTTTCTAAAATTATAGTTCATTCAAGATACTCTTCCCTTTTAACAATAATAAATCAAAGATAGGAAATTGTTTTAAGGTATTTTCCAATTCAGATTTTTCAAAAATAAATGATTCTAGTATTTTTTATTGAACTCTGTATGTTTAACTATTATCAAAATTTTATCCGTTTTCATTTAGATTCTATTTCTTTTTTACTATTTTAACAAACTCTTTTATATAATTTGTTTCTAGACTCCTCAAAATATTAAAGCTTTATTCTTCAGAGAACATTTCGTCTGTGTTTATATTTTTTGAAAATGGATATGTTTCAATTAAGTATCTCATCAAGTTATCTCGATAATTATTTGAGATAAAATTGAATTTGTTATCAAGAACATTGAGTAGATTTGATATTTAAAATGAATTTTTAACTGATTAGAGGTGTTAAGGATCATCTTGTAATTTGATCAAATGCTCAACGTATTCATTTACATTGTTTATTTTCTCATCATTTAATTCTGAAAATCTGATAGCTTTTTTACCTTCTTGATTCATTTTGTCAAATGAAATTTATTCAAAAAAGAGACTTAGTTTTTACATTTATTGTCTAATTTGATTCAAAAACTCTTCACTGCAATAATTAGTTTTGTTAGAAATTAATTTCATTAATTAATCTATTTTATTATTATCTTGTTATGGTAATATATTATTATTTAAGTTATTATCAGAGCTGACTTGACTTTATGTTTAATCTTCAAAAAAGTTAAGCTAATCTAAAAAATCTAATAAAAATATTTTGCTTTTGTTTAATCTGTCAAAATCGATTAATTGTTGAATTTTGTCACATTGATTGAGCAACTCTTAAAGCAGCTGGGTATTTTTAGCTTTATTTAACTCTACTTACTAAATGAAGTCTTTACACGATTTTTGGTAGAGCGCAAAAGACTTATTCTAATCTTACATGAGCAGTGATTTTAAGTTTTGAATTTAAGATATTTCTTGATACCTTTTCAAAATTTACTCTTTGCCAAAAGGCATTTCGAGAGCTTGATTGATTGCTTTTTTCTAAGCGACATCAATTTTTTTAATGATTTCATCTTTTAGCTAAGTGAAGTAGGAATTGATTTAATTGAGGACGCTTTATGTTGAATTGAGATTCTTAGCCTTCAAATGAATATTCTGAATAATCTGCTAATCATTGAGAGGTGGCCATTTATAATGAAAATCAGAATCTGAATTTTCAATAATTTTTTAGATGAGCATGTAATTGGCACCTCTAAATTGTAAATCTTATTCGAAGCAATCAACACATTAGAATATGTTAGAGTTAGGAAGGGATGAAATTTCATTAACTTAGATAAAGGCAAGTTTATTTTTAGTATGAAAGATACAATTTTATTGAATAGGAATACTATTCAGAGCTAATTAGTCCATTTTATTTGATTAATTGAGTATGCTAATTTTTGAGAAGTTTTGATTTATTAAATAAAAATCAGAAGATTGAAATTTTATCATAGAAAGCAAAAAAGAAATAGTTAAACAAACAAATAAAAATAAAAATAGGTATTAGAATATTTAATGTACATTTTAAAAAAAGAGCAAATAAAATATATTTGAATATTAAATAGAAAATATAAAAAAAACTAAGTATATTCATTTTATAATAAAATATCATGAATATTAAATTTTATTAAATCATATTAAATATTATTAAATTTTATTTTGCTTAATATATTAATATTTAATCAAATAAATTTTTTTGAATCATATTATAATATATTTTTTTAGATTTTTAAAACGCTTTAACGAAATATTTATTTGAAAAAAAAACTTATGAAGAAAAATAAGTACAAAAAAATTAAAACAGATCTAATAGCAAATTTGTTTTACACTCATTTTACTGGACCAATATAATATATAATATATATTATGCCTATTATTTTTTTACTACATAGTATTCATTATTATTCTAACCTCTATATTTCAATTTATTAGCAAATTAATTCAAATATTATTATTTTGAATTTCTTCCAAAATTTAATTTTCAAAATTATTCAACTATTAATGCTTCTTTTAAGATATATTTATCTTAGTGCCAACATAAATGGAAATATAAACATAGATCTTTTTAAGATAAATTTTATTTAAATTAATCTTAAATTTCAACTTTATAGGAATAATCTGGGTAATTTAATACCTCAACTTACTATCCTTCTAGCCAAACTCTCAACTCTAAAGTACTATTTTCATCTAGCAATTATGTCTTATTTCCTTTTACAAATTTATCAATTCCTTAATTTCCTTAGTAATTCATCTTATTGTTTTAAATTTGAAAAAAGTAGCTCATTTTATCATTATGTCCATAATCTTTATTGAAATTCTCATTTTTCATTAATCCTATCATAAAGTAACCATTAAATCCCTTTTGAAATTAAATCCTAAATATGTATTTTTTATCTCTTTCCAATATCTAAGAAATGCAATTAGTTTCATAATTTTTATTACTCCCTTAGTAGTAAGTTTAATTTATAGAAATTTCAAATTAATTATTCATATTTTTAACTATTTCTATTCGCTAGTTTCCATCATATAAATTGCTTTTCTAAAATTATAATTCATTCAAGATACTCTTCTCTTTTAACAATAATAAATCAAAGATAGGAAATTGTTTTAAGGTATTTTCCAATTCAGGTTTTTCAAATCTAAATGATTCTAGTATTTTTTATTGAACTCTGTATGTTTAACTATTATCAAAGTTTTATTGGTTTTAATTTAGATTCTATTTCTTTTTTACTATTTTAACAAACTCTTTTATATAATTTGTTTCTAGACTCCTCAAAATATTAAAGCTTTATTCTTCAGAGAACATTTCGTCTGTGTTTATATTTTTTGAAAATGGATATGTTTCAATTAAGTATCTCATCAAGTTATCTCGATAATTATTTGAGATAAAATTGAATTTGTTATCAAGAACATTGAGTAGATTTGATATTTAAAATGAATTCTTAACTGATTAGAGGTGTTAAGGATCATTTTATAATTTGATCAAATGCTCAACGTATTCATTTACATTGTTTATTTTCTCATCATTTAATTCTGAAAATCTGATAGCTTTTTTACCTTCTTGATTCATTTTGTCAAATGAAATTTATTCAAAAAAGAGACTTAGTTTTTACATTTATTGTCTAATTTGATTCAAAAACTCTTCACTGCAATAATTAGTTTTGTTAGAAATTAATTTCATTAATTAATCTATTTTATTATTATCTTGTTATGGTAATATATTATTATTTAAGTTATTATCAGAGCTGACTTGACTTTATGTTTAATCTTCAAAAAAGTTAAGCTAATCTAAAAAATCTAATAAAAATATTTTGCTTTTGTTTAATCTGTCAAAATCGATTAATTGTTGAATTTAGTCACATTGATTGAGCAACTCTTAAAGCAACTGGGTATTTTTAGCTTTATTTAACTCTACTTACTAAATGAAGTCTTTACACGATTTTTGGTAGAGCGCAAAAGACTTATTCTAATCTTACATGACCAGTGATTTTAAGTTTTGAATTTAAGATATTTCTTGATACCTTTTCAAAATTTATTCTTTGCCAAAAGGCATTTCGAGAGCTTGATTGATTGCTTTTTTCTAAGCGACATCGATTTTTTTAATGATTTCATCTTTTAGCTAAGTGAAGTAAGAATTGATTTAATTGAGGACGCTTTATGTTGAATTGAGATTCTTAGCTTTCAAATGAATATTCTGAACAATCTGCTAATCATTGAGAGGTGGCCATTTATAATGAAAATCAGAATCTGAACTTTCAATAATTTTTTAGATGAGCATGTAATTGGCACCTCTAAATTGTAAATCTTATTCGAAGCAATCTACACATTAGAATATGTTAGAGTTAGGAAGGGATGAAATTTCATTAACTTAGATAAAAGCAAGTTTATTTTGAGGATGAAAGATACAATTTTATTGAATAGGAATATTATTGGGAGATAATTAGTCCATTTTATTTGATTGATTGAATGTACTTGGATATTATTTATTACAAAATTAAAAATCTTAAACTTTTGAGATTGCTTTGATTAATTAAATAAAAATAAAAGATTGAAATTTTATCATAGAAAGCAAAAAAGAAATAAGTAAATAAATAAAGATTATATATATAGAATATTTAAAGTGTTAAAAAAAAAAACAAATATTCTAATTAAAAATTATTGAATTTTAAATTAGGTAATTATTTTTTATGTGTTTTATTTTTATTATTTTTTGTTTGTTTTACTTTTTTTTTCGCCTGATTTTTGGATTTAAAAAACAAAAAAAAAATTTATGAAAAAAAATTAGATCAAGAAAATAAAACATACTTAAAAGCTAAATTGTTTTAGATTAATTTTACTGAGCCAATAAAACACAAAATACATATTATGCCTATTATTTTTTACTGTATTTTATTTTTATCAGCAATTACTATTCGAACCTCTATATTTAAAGTTATAAGCAAATTCAATTATTATTTTTAAATCATTCATTCTATTTATTTGATTTTAAATTTTATCCTTATTTTAATTTTCAAAATTAATCAACTATTAATGCTTCTTTTAAGATATATTTATTTTAGTGTCCATATAAACAAAAATATAAGCATAGATCTTTTTAAGATAGATTTTATTTATATTTATCTTAGATTTCAACTTTATAGGAATAATCTGGGTAATTTAATACCTCAATTTACTATCCTTCTAGCCAAACTCTCAACTCTAAAGTACTATTTTCATTTAGCAATTATGTCTTTTCTCCTTTTAAAAATTTATCAATTCCATAACCTCCATTGTATTTCATTTTATTATTTTCTAATCTAAAATAGTAGCCCATATTCTCACTATATCCATATTTATGATTGAAATTCTCATTTTTCATTAATCCTATCATAAAATTACCATAACCTTCCTTTTGAAATTAAATCCTAAATATGTATTTTTTATCTCTTTCTAAAATCTAAGAAATGCAATTAGTTTCATTACCTTTATAACTCCCTTAGTAGTTAGTTTCATTAATAGAAATTTCAAATTAATTATTCATATTTTTAACTATTTCTATTCGCTAGTTTCCATCATGTAAATTGTTTTTCTAAAATTATAGTTGATTCAAGATATTCTTCCCTTTTAACAATAATAAATCAAAGATTGGAAATTTTTTTAATGTATTTTCCAATTCACGTTTTTCAAAAATAAACGATTCTAGTATTTTTTATTGAACTCTGTATGTTTAACTATTTTCAAAGTTTTATTAGTTTTCATTTAGATTCTATTTCTTTTTTACTATTTTAACAAACTCTTAAATATAATTTGTTTCTAGACTCCTCAAAATATTAAAGCTTTATTCTTCAGAGAACATTTGGTCTGTGTTTACATTTTTCAAAAATGGATATGTTTCAATTAAGTATTTAATCAAGTTATCTCGATAACTATTTGAGATAAAATTGAATTTGTTATCAAGAACATTGAGTAGATTCGATATTTAAAATTAATTCTTAACTGATTAGAGATGTTAAGGATTATCTTATATTTTTATCAAATGCTCAACATATTCATTTACACAGTTTATTTTTTCATCATTTAATTCTGAAAATCGGATAGCTTTTTTACCTTCTTGATTCATTTTGTCAAATGAAATTTATTCCAAAAATAAACTATTTTTTTGCATTTATTGTCTAACTTGATTCAAAAACTCTTTACTGCAATAATTAGTTTCGTTAGAAATTAATTTCATTAATTAATCTATTTTACTATTAACTTATTATGGTAATGTATTATTATTATTATTATTATTATTATTATTATTATTATTATTATTATTATTATTATTATTATTATTATTTTTAAATTTATTTTCAGATTTGACTTGACTTTATTTTTAATCTTCAAAAAAGTTAAGTTGATCTAAAAAATCTAATAAAAATATTTTGCTTTTGTTTAATCTGTCAAAATCTATTAATTGTTGAATTTTGTCACATTCATTGAGCAATTCTTAAAATAGCTGCGTATTTTTACCTCTATTTAACTCTACTTACTAAATGAAATCTTTACACTATTTTTGGTAGACCTCAAAAGACTTATTCTAGTCTTAAATAAGTGATTTTAAGTTTTGAATTTAAGATATTTCTTGATACTTTTTCAAAATTTTCTCTTTGCCAATAGGCATTTCGAGAGCTTGATTGATTGCTTTTTTCTAAGCGACATCTATTTTTTTAATGATTTCATCTTTTAGCTAAGTGAAGTAAGAATCGATTTAATTGAGGACGCTTTATGTTGAATTGAGATTCTTAGCCTTCAAATCAATATTTTGAATGATCTGCTAATCACTCAGAGGAGGCCATCTATAATGAAAATCAGAATCTGAATTTTTAATAATATTTTCAATGAGCATGTAATTGGCATGTCTAAACTGTAAATCTTTTTCGAAGCAAGAAAAACATTTGAATATGCTAGAGTTAGGAAGGGATGAAATTTCATTAACTTAGATAAAAGCAACTTTATTTTGAGGATGAAAGATACAATTTTATTGAATAAGACTACTTTTGGAAGTTAATTAATACATTTTATTTAATTGATTGAATATGATTAGATATATTATAACTAAACTTAAAAACCTCAAACTTTTCAGACTGTTTTTATTTATTAGATAATAAGATTAAATCTATTAAAATATTTAATGTATGTTTTAAAATAAAAACTAATATTCTAATAAAAAATAGTTGAATTTTAAATTGGGTAAAAATCTAATATTACGAATTTCATCTAATTTTACATTAATTGTATGTTGTCTATTATGGTATATATTTAGTTAACTTTCTATTTTTTATTATATTATTGAACTTTCACTAATAAAAATATTTTAACTTATTAAAAAAAATCAATTTACCAGAATATTTATTTGAAAAAAAAATCATGAGAAAAATTAGAACAAAAAAATTAAAACAGAACAAATGTCTAATTTGAATTACACTCTTTTTAATTAATCAGTAAATATATATATATAATACATATTATACCTATTATTCTTTCAATATATTGTATTTATTGTTAATAATTATTATTCGAATCTATATATTTATAGACAAATTTATCTATTATTTTTAAATCCTTCATTCATTTTTTTCTTTATTTTATTTTGAATTTCATTCTTACTTTAATTTTCAAAATTAACCAACTATTAATGCTTCTTTTAAGATATATTTCTGTTAGTGTTAATATAAATAGAAAAATAGACATAGATCATTTGAAGATAGGTTTTATTTATATTCATCTGAGATTTCAATTTTATAGGAATAATCTGGGTAATTTAATACCTCAACTTACTATCCTTCTAGCCAAACTCTCAACTCTAAAGTACTATTTTCATCTAGCAATTATGTTTTACCTCCTTTTACAAACTTATCAATTCCATAACCTCCTGCATATTTCATCTTATTATTTTCTAATAAAAAATAGTAGCTCATTTTATCCTTATATCCCCAAGCTTTATTGAAATTCTCATTTTTCATTAATCCTATCATAAAATAACAATCATTTCTCTTTTCAAATTAAATCCTAAATATGTATTTTTTATCTCTTTACAATATCTAAGAAATGCAATTAGTAGCATTAGTTTTATAGCTCCCTTAGTAATTAGTTTCATTTATAGAAATTTCAAATTAGTTATTCATATTATTAACTATTTCTATTCGCTAGTTTCCATCAAATATATTGCTTTTCTAAAATTGTAGTTGATTCAAGATACTCCTCTCTTTTATCAATAATAAATCAAAGATAGGAAATTGTTTTAAGGTATTTTCCAATTCACGTTTTTCAAAACTAAATGATTCTAGTATGTTTTATTGAACTATGTATGTTTAACTATTATCAAAGTTTTATTGGTTTTAATTTAGATTCTATTTCTTTTTTACTATTTTAACAAACTCTTTTATATAATCTGTTTCTAGACTCCTCAAAATATTAAAGCTTTATTCTTCAGAGAACATTTCGTCTGTGTTTACATTTTTCAAAAATGGATATGTTTCAATTAAGTATTACATCAAGTTGTCTCGATAATTATTTGAGATAAAATTGAATTTGTTATCAACAACATTAAGTATGTTCGATATTTAAAGTGAATTCTTAACTGATTAGAGGTGTTAAGGATCATCTTATATTTTGATCAAATGCTCAACATATTCATTAATACTGTTTATTTTTTCATCATTTAATTCTGAAAATCGGATAGATTTTTTACCTTCTCGATTCATTTTGTCAAATGAAATTAATTCAAAAAAGAAACTTAGTTTTTACATTTATTGTCTAATTTGATTCAAAAACTCTTCACTGCAGTAATTAGTTTTGTTAGAAATTAATTTCATCAATTAATTTGTTTTACTATTTTCTTGTTAAGGTAATATATTATTATTTAAGTGGTTATCAGAGTTGACTTGGCTTTATGATTAATCTTCAAATAAATTAAGCTAATCTAAAAAATCTAATAAAAATATTTTGCTATTGTTTAGTCTGTCAAAATCAATTAATTGTTGAATTTAATCGCACTAATTGAGCAACTCTTAAAGCAACTGAGTATTTTTAGCTTTATTTAACTCTACTTACTAAATGAAGTCTTTACATGATTATTGGTAGAGCGCAAAAGACTTATTCTAGTCTTGCATGAGTAGTGATTTTAAATTTTGAATTTAAGATATTTATTGATACCTTTTCAAAATTGACTCTTTGCCAAAAGGCATTTCGAGAGCTTGATTGATTGCTTTTTTCTAAGCGAAATCGATTTTTTTAATGACTTCATCTTTTAACTAAATAAAGTAAGAATCAATTTAATCGAGGACACTTTATGTCGAATTGAGATTTTTAGCCTTCAAATGAATATTCTGAACGATCTGCTAATCATTGAGAGGTGGCCATTTATAATGAAAATCAGATTCTGAATTTTCAATAATTTTTTAGATGAGCATGTAATTGGCACCTTTAAATTGTAAATCTTATTCGAAGCAATCAACGCATTAGAAAATGTTAGAGTTAGGAAGGGATGAAATTTCATTAACTTAGATAAAAGCAAGTTTATTTCCAGGATGAAAAATACAATTTTATTGAATAGGGATACTGTTGGGAGCTAATTAATCCATTTTATTTTATATAGATATCTTATAACTAAACTTAAAATCTAAAATTTTTGAGATTGTTTTTATTAATTAAATAAAAGTCAAAAGATTGAAACTTTATCATAGAAAGCAAATAAATAAAGATAATATCTATTAGAATATTTAATGTATATTTGAAAATAACAACTAATATTCTCATAAAAAATATTTGAATTCTAAATTGGATTTCAAAATTTATCTCCATAGAAATTTATCTAGTTTCAATAGTACCCACACTAAAGAAATTTGACAGTAATTATTATTCAAAATGAAAATGAAGACAAAATTTTAAATTTAATAATGATTTTGGTAAAAGCTAATATTATTGAAATAGAGAAATAAAATATTTTTTTAATTTTTCAACTCTCAATTAATTTTAATAAAAAAATTTTATAGTAGATTTATTAAATTGAAAATAAATATTATAATATAATTTTTAAATTAAAATTAGAAATGAAAGCTAACTTTATTCATATTAATCAATAAAACTTTTTCATTTAAAATATCTATAAATATTATCTTTTGTATATGCGTTTCGATTTTATCTATGAAATTTCAAGAATAAGTAAATAATTTCAACATATTCGAAAAATTAATATACTATCAAATGATAATTTAAATAATTAAAAATTTAGAAAGTATTTAATAAATGAACAAAATTAACATTTGCGCTTATTTTATTGAAATAAAGAAAAATATTTGATATCTAATTAATTTAGTTAATTAATTTATTAATGCTTTATAATTTATTTGGTAATCCTATTTTTAATAAATTATTGTTACAATAATTATCTTTATTTACTTTTTATATTCTTTTATTAAATACAAATTTTAGATTACTTAAAAATTAATTGTATTTATTTATATTAGATTTAAAAACTAAATAGAAAAAAAAATGCCAACAAATAAAAAACAAGCAAAATTCAGTAAAATGTTTCATTATTAGTAGTAATTTTTTTTAATTAAAATGTATTTGACTGATTTATTATTTTTACTTTACTATTTAAAACTTTTACTTAAAAGATTAATTACATCTAATTGAAAGATTCTGATAGATAAAATATTTGGTAGTGATATAAAAGTAAATTTTTTGTAAACTTATAAAATAAATCTTTTATAAATTAACAATGCATTTTATAATAATTTTAGTAATCTTTTTAAACCAATTGTAGTTACAATATTTATCTTTATTTACTTTTAATATTCTTTTATTAAATACAAATTTTAAATTACTTAAAAATTAATTGTATTTATTTATTTTAGATTTAAAACTGTTTTTAAAATATAAATTCCAATAAAGAAAAAACAAAATTCAGTAAAATATTTTATTATTAGTAATTTTTTTTACTATAAAAACTATTAAAATGTGTTTTAATGATTTATTATTATTAATTTATCATTTAAAAATTGAATTAATAGATTAACAAAATCTAACAGAAAGATTCTTATCGATAAAATATTTGGCAGAGAAATAAAAGTAATTTTTTAGTAAACTTTTAAAATAATTCTTTTATTGATAAACAATGGATTTTATTATAAAAGTGTTTTTATCACATGTGATCTATCTTGCACAATCTTTAAAATAAAAATAAATCCAATAAAGCAGACTTATCAAAATTAAATTTCAAAGCCATAAAAACTAAACCATAAAAATGTTTTTAAAAAAAGTTTTTAAAGACCTCTTGAAAAATGGAGTTGGATTATAGGTAATTAATTATTGATTTAATTATTAGACCTGTTTAATTACTTAAATAAATCAATAGAACAAACAAAAAATAAAAATGAGTCAGAGTGTTGGGTTCAAAAAACATTTTGAAAACGATAAAGTTGAAGGTAATTAATAAATTTAATCAATCTTATTATTATCATTCTCAATCTCATATATAAGCATTTAAAATATCAAAATAATTGATTAAATTCATTAGCATTTGATTTATTTAATGAGATTTAAATAATAAAATTTAAAAAAACAATTTTTAATTCTATTAAATAAGAATAAAATGATTATTTATGAAAGATAAACAAAATACCTATTTAGAATTATTTTATTTTTTGTAAAATCATTGAAATTTTTGTGGCAATTTATCCACAGAATATACTTGAATAGATAGTTAGATATATTTAATTAGAATGTTAATCATATCTTACTTAAAGTAGATATATAGATAAGTTTTTTGGTTATTGAACTAAAATAAAAGGCAATCTTCAATTTTTAACACTTTCTTTAATAAATAAAATACCAATAGAATTATAAATCATCACTAGAGATTAAGTTGGGAGTTTAAGCAATGTCCTTGATGTTTTTAAATAACACAGCATAAATTTGACTTAAATTGAATCTAAGCTTCTTAATAAGAGGAGAGAGTATGTTTAATTAAATTGAAAAGATTTTAATTTTATCATTTTTATATTATTGAAGTAATCAAAATGTTATGTTCGTTTGTACCTTTGAGGGAAATAGAAAATACTAAAATGTCCAATAAGCATTTTAAGAATTATAATCTAAATTTGATATTGTTAAATTCTCAGATGAAACTAACGTGGTTCCATGGTTTCCCAGAGATAGAAATGATCTTCAATATAGTAAATGAGAAAATATTTGTTTAAAAAAATATCATTTTTGATTTTAAAAATAAAGTTGGACAAGATTTGATGCGTGTAGAAGAAGATAATTGTAAAGATTCTTTATAATTCACTGTAAATATCAAATTATTTATATTAATTAAATTACATTTGATGTTAATAATTTATTAAAAACCTTATTTGATGTATTATTTATAAAATCTATTTAAAGGATACAGAATATAGAAAGAGAAGAGATTATATTGCTTAGGTTTCTAAAAGTCACATTTTAGGTTAGCCAATTCCTATTTTAGAATATACTGAATAGGAAAATTAAACATGGAGAACTATTTACAACAAGCTTAGCTCCTACCATAAGGATCTGTGCACTGACAGATACAATTATAACAAAAGATAACTAGAAAGGGAATTAGGAATATAAAATTAAATTCCATAGTTAAGAGATTTAGATGCTTATCTTAGATAAAAAACTAACTTCAAAATTAAAGCCGCTCATGGAATTCTTTCTTAAAGAGAGTTTTTGAATGCCTTAGCTCATCGTGTGTTCTTTTCCACTTAATATATTCGTCATCACAAGACTGTAGAATACACTCCTGAGCCTGATATTGTTCATGAAGGTAGCTATATTTTTAAAATGAAACATGATATATGATTAAATATTTATTTAACTAGTCGTTGGACATATTCCTATGTTTGCAGATCCAGTAGTAGCAGATATAAGTCAAGAAATCGGTTTATTAAGCATTGGCGCTAATGATGAATAGTTGAGAAGACTTGGTAATATTTATTGGTTCACTCTTGAATTTGGTGCTTGTAAAGAAAATGGTAAAATGAAGGCTTATGGAGCTGGTATTATAGGTTGCATAGGTGAATGCGAGGTAAAAAAATCTTTTTTTATTTAAATTAATTTTTAATAAATTATTTTAATTATAAAAAGCACTTCTTAAGTCAAAATTCTAGATTTAAATACTTAGATCCATTCAAAGACTGTGATCGTGAATATCCTATTTAGAAAGTGTAACCAGTTTACTGTTATACTAACTCATTTGAAGAATGCTTGGAAAGATTAGTTAAATTTGGAGAATAAATGAAAAAACCAATGAAAACATGGTATGACTTCAACACAGAAACAGTAAAAATTTATTAACTTTGGTAATCAGAATTTACAATTAAATTGATTTTTTTAATATTTAGATCGAGTGTGACAGAAGAATTATTGCTACTGATAAATATTAATGATAAATAAATAATCAAAAAACCCATTTAAATCTTAATAAAAGTATATAATTTATTTGTATTTATTTTATAATTTATTAAATTTGTATTACCATTAAAAATATTATATAAATATATACTCTAAATCCTCATTAATTAAGAGCCGCATAAATTAAAGGCCAAAAAAAGTTTTTTAATGTCAAAAAAATTCTAAATGTAAATTTAAAATTTGAATAAAAACTTTTAAAACAAGTAATTTACATTGATTATAAATATATTTATTATTTTATAAAGAAAGATTAAGGAATATGTTAGATTTTATTTTGATAATATTTAATAAATTTTTGTTTGATATTTGAGTTTTTTTGTTTATTAATTTATTTGTTTACTCATTAATATTTATTTTTATCAATAAATTTTCATAAATTAGGATAAATATTTAAAGATGTTGAATTCTTTGATTTCAGGGTAACTTTGATTAATGATTTTGCAGAGGTTTTCAATCCAATATTAGAATGCCTTGATCGAATTCATTTTAAAGTAAGAATAGGCTACTTCTAAGTCATAGTAAGAGAAGGCAAGTCCTTTATTCTAGAATGTAAAATGAAGGAAGTAATCTAGAAATTTAGAGTTAACAAGCAAGTCTTATTCTTGAACGTCTTCTGGTATTTCTTTAGTTACTATTTTATACTCAACTAAGTCAACAAGCTTATAAATCATCTCTTAAATATTTATTTATTCCAAACTTTTTAGAAATTGTTTCTATTCTTCATCGTGTTGTTCTTACTTTTCTTTCTTTTATTCCAAAGCTTCCAGCACTTTGTTCAATTAGTGTTTGATATCCAAAATAAGAGTCTCTTTTCTGACTACGTGTTCTGGAATAATTTCATTCAACTCTTATCCAAATTTCAACACAAAGTCTTTGTTAAACTATATTTTAGGGTTCAAATACTTTTTAATATTTTGATAATCTCTGAAACCCATAACAAATTAATCTAAAAACCTGATGAAACTATCGAGGTTGCTTTCCCCAATGCAGTCAACAAGGAATTTGTTCTTCATAAAATAGGATTTAATTATTGGATGGTTTTCTTTTTTGTCAAAGAAAAGATCTATACTGTTAATCTTTGCCTCTCTAAAAAAGAGCAAACGAATATTTTCTACTTTTTCAAGAATAATATTGATATTTTACCACTCCAATTTCATGTCTCTCAAGATATTAAGAAGAATTATCTTAAGCATAAAATACTCAAAGTTATGAATTTATTAGAATTTCTTGATATCTGCTATTTGAATGAAAACAGATTCATTATGTTCATTAAGCAAATTCACTGTAAAATCTAACATCTTTTTTTGAATTTCCTCTAGATAATAATTAGGTTTATTTTTCATAGATCCAATCTATGCTTAAATTATCTCTTTTTCTAACAAATGATTTTCTACCAACTGTATTAAAAGTCTCTTTAATATCTCTTCAATATTGTGCATGCCAATACGCTTAACATTGTTTTAAGGAATAAAAAATTTGCCATATTCATCAAAATATTTAGTTATCTCTTTAATGAAAGAAAGGTCTATTCCAATATTAAATAGTATCTAATTTATCAAATCTTTTGATTTCTCTAAAAATTACTCACTCAAAATCAAATTTTAAAGACTAGAATCTAAATCTTCCTATTTAGCTTCTCTTTTAGTTTTCATTGCTTTGTTGTTATTATGATTCTGTTTATATTCTTCCTTTACCTTTTCTAAGCAAAATAAAAAGTATTTCTTGAGAACAAATCCTAAATTAAATGCATTATTATTCTAAATTGAATCATTAAATGTTTGCTTTAATTCTGAATCTTCACTTGATAGTTCTTCAATAAATTTCTCCATAATTAATTAAGCTGCTCCTTCACAAGTTATAATATTTTGTAAAAGCAAAGCTTCCTCTTACTCATCTTTCTTCTTCTATTTTTACTAAACTTCTTTTGCTTTTTAAGGACTCTGATCAATCAGCTTAGAGTAATCAAATTGATTTTGATTAACATTGAATTCTGTATAAGATCCTACTTGTTAATCTTTATTAAAATAAATTAATAAATTTAATATTTTTATTTTTTATATTTTTAAATTAAAAGTAAAATAAAAATTTCTTTATTTTTTTATCTTAATTTATTTTTTGAAATTTTCCAAAGAAAAGATAAAATTAAAAAAATATTTTATGATATTTAAATTTGAATGAAAAATGATAAAAGTTTTATCAATAATTTTTATTTTGTGTTTAAAAATTAATTTTATGTAGATTAACATTAATTGATTTTTGATTAAATTTATAAATTTACCTTATCTGTTTGTTATTGGTGATTTTAATTCTTCAGCATAATTCAAGCGGCTGGAAATGCCCAATTTTTATGAGCTTGATTCAAGCTTTTGTAAGGACTCCTGCAGATTAAGTTATCTTACTTTTTTATAGTTTCTATCTTTATTTTAGTTTACCTTTTCTTTATATTACCAATAATTCATAAAATTCTAAGTATCTGCGTGCTATTTTGGTTTTAAGGGTTATTCATCTCCTTCAGTTATTTTACATAAAGTGCTTTAAAATTATTATTCTTATTACATTCTGTTTGCATTGTCTTTAGACTCGTTAATGAATTTTAATACACTTAAAGTTGACGATTTTTTCAGAGATTGCATTGAGTTCGGTGATGCAAATTCTGCTTCTTTTATATTCGCCAAAGAAGAAGCTGGTAACTTAGATTATTCGAAGTATTCAAGTAAATCAACTGACTTATTTGGCTGTTTTACTTTCTTCACCACTTACTTTTTATTTAAAAACATCTCTTAAGTCATCTATTTAATTGCTTGCTTGTTTTTTTAAATGTTAGAATCCAACTATTATGAATTTATCTGAATATAGGGTAAACGCAATGTTGACAAAAATTATTCCTGTTTGCCAGGACTGTATTCATTCTAAGTTGTTGGTAAATCTGTTAAGCTGCTTCTCTAATTTTACCCTACTCTTTTTTAGAATGGCAATTTGTTATCTGATTTACTATTAGGAGTTTCTATAAAGTAAGGCATCTTTTTATTTTCATTATTTGACATGCTCACATCTTAGAATTAAAAATAATCAGGACTTTTATTCTTATTCAATTTGGTTGCTGTAGAATTTTCATTCCAAGGTGACTGACTAAATTATTTAGAATCCTCCTTATAATTAGTCTTCTCAACAAAGAAATAGTTGTTCTTGCTGCTATTCTAAACTGGACTTAAATGATTTTTTAAATTAATCAAGCTCTCCAAGCTCTTTTTCTTCTTTTCTACACTGAAGCTATTGTGAATCTATTTCAATTGATATTGAGCCATTTGCTAAATGGGAGATTTCTAGGTTTCATAAATTTTTTCGCTATTCATCTGAGTCAACAAATTGAGCTTTACTTTAAAGTTAGGAGACAGTTGCTGCTAATTTTTGGAGAATTAATTGTTAGAATTCTGAGAATTTTGAGGCACTAAATTCAACTTCATCTAGTTAGCAATATTTTGTTTCTTTGAATTGCTTTAAAAGCTCTTAGAAGAGGACTAGCCTGCCATATCAAAATTAAACTATTTCATTGAATTTTTAATTAATTTTTAGCTATATTAATAGTATAAAAACAAATCGATTTAATTTGCAAATATTTGTCTTACTATTTATTATTTATTTATTAATAAATAAATAAAAATTGGAAATTCATCAAGAGTTTGTATAAGCTTTTAATGATCAAAGTTGCAAGTATTGTTTAAATTTTTATTGAGTAGATAGATTGCTGTATATTCCTACAATTTATTTACATTGAGTAACAAAGTAACAATGATTTATTCATTTCCAAATATCTTTCTCTCTATTAAATACAAAATATTTCTACTAGTAGAATTTTATTTGAAAAACAAAAAGGCTAAAAAGCATATTTCAGACTGGCATTTTAGTAGCCATTTTTATAGAAAAAAAAACTAATAATTTTATTAATTGTTTTTATCATGATATTATTTATTTCTACTGTCATTTTATATATTAATTTGTAAAGAATGCTTTATAATAAAAATATAAATAAGATCACCATATATTTAATTATTTTCTATCAATATTATTCACTTCCTCAATTCGAGCTTTCTTTATCTAATATTTTATTAATTAATTTATAAATATTTCAATTACATTCAAATAAACCTGAAAACAAACTAATATTTTATAATTTATTTCTCAAGTATCACTGATTGATTTATTCATTCATTGATAATAATACCATTTAATAAATTTTTATATAGAAATATTTTTAATTTAAATAGTTTCTTAAATCATTTGATTGTAAACTTATAGTAAATAATTAGATATTAGACTCTGAAACACTCGCTATCAAAAAAAAAAAATAAGGAAATTTGTGAGAAAGAAGTTTTTAATCCAAGTTTAAGTAGAATTTTTTGTAAAAAAAATAATTTGACAAAATTCTTATTTTAGTTTATATTTATAATTAATTATTTAATTTATTATTAAAAATATATTTAATTTTAATATAACAATTATTAATAATTATATTTATTTTAACTAGAATAATTGAAAAATGAATTTAACAAATTATTAAATGTAAATTTTGATATGAAATTATACAAATGAAGTATATAGAAATATAATTAGATAGTTAGAAGTAGTTATAAAATGATAGTCTTGCTAAATGTTTTAATTTGATTAAAATATATTAGTTAAAATTAAAAGGAGCAATGCAATGTTTCATTTATTTATTAACAGAATTTTTTAGGTTTGTTGTAGATTTTTTTAATTTTCAGTTTTTGTTTTGAGTGTTTTAATTTTTTTTTATTAGAGGTTTGTGAAACGAAGATACTGAGGCGAATTTTGTTGTTTAATCTAAAGATTTGTGGAAAGAAGATGCATAGGTGAATTTCGTTTGGTCTTCTCGTAAGAAGGAAGTGGTTGGGTTGTTGAAGGCGGGTTTTTCTTGGGATTGAGAGGAAGAAGAGACAGGTATTGAAAGTTTTTGAATGCACTTTTATTGAGCTGTTACTGATTTCTTTGCTTATAAGGAAGATTTAATACTTGCTATATCACTTGCTTTAACGAATCCAAAGTTGGCATAATTGCTGCTGCTATTGTTTGTTTTCTGGGACTCATCACTTTCATTTAAACTTTTAGATCTATTATTGAAATTTTATGAGCCATTAATATTGTTTTTAAAATATGCATTTTCCTATGAAAATTGACTGTTTTATGATTAGGATCCTATTTTCAAGGACATCTTGCTTGTAATTTCTTTGTATTATGCTTTTGTTATTGGTAAACAATCATAGTTGTCATAGTACTCGTCTCCAAAGTGGTTTTCATAAAGATCTTCTTCTTGGCCATACTTTTCAAAGAGGGATTTTGGATCTTTTTTCTTTGATAATGGATTTTTCTGGCTATGAAATGAATCATCTGATTCAGATTTGTTAAAATAATCGTGACTTAGTTTAAGAATTTAATTTTGCATAGGCAATTTAATATTCGATTAGCTTAGATTCAGCTGAGATTCTTGGTTAGAAGAAGGGACTGATTTACTTGCAACTGAACATGCTTCCTATTTATCTTATCTCGCGTTATATAGCACTTTCATAACTCCTTCTAACTGCTTATTTTGTATATCCATAGTTATCAATTCTCCTTAGAGTGGATAATAAATCGTTATATATTTAATTTTATTTATTTTCCATGCACTTTAAAGTATTTAAGCTTTTGCTTGCAATTCTATTATATCCTCAGGTTTTACTAATTGCTGCTACTAAAATCTGATCTCAAAAATAGTATCTTCAGTGATTATATCGTAGTCAGCTTTTATTTAATAAGTTTCATCGTAAATTGTTTAATTTACTTGAGGAACATCACTTCCTTTAGGTGTCTTTTTTAATACTTCAGGAATGAATGCTTTTTTGCTATTTTTCAAAATATTTTTATTCATTTCGAAATGCTTAAATGCATCGTCTTTGTGTAAGAGTCTTTTTCTTTAATTAAAAATGCTATAACACATAGAAACATTGAATATGCTTTTAAGAATGTCATCTGATTTTTGATTTTTGTCCTTAAACTGAATGAGAGATTTGAATATTTCTTCTCTCTTTTTGGTATCCTGAATGTAATAGCTGCTTAATAAATTTTAATCAATAGAGTATATTAAATTGTTTACAGAGTTGTGCTCTAAATTGCTGAAACTAGTTTCAGAGAACAAGACTCCTTAGCAATACTTATTATTAAAAGCCATAGCCATTTAGTCATTCTCATAATCATCTCCTTTGTCATACTTGTTTCCCTTCGATTTGCTATTTACTGAGGATGTCTCTTTGCCAGTTAGCATGGCATTGTATTCTTCTCCTATTGATCGAATCAAATACGATTTAAAAAATTAAGCAAATTCAGGAACTAAATTATTATCAATAATGTATTGTCCTAGTTTACATTTAAAGTGAATTTGAATAATTTCTTTCTTTAAGTCTAAAAATCCTTAATTTCTAAGTTGCTCATAATGATCTTTATTAAGAAATTCAATTATATCTGTTAAAATCACTGTTTTGCTTTTTATTTTATCGATTGTCCTCATTTTTTCATTGCATTTCTGCTATTCGCTGATCCAAGGCTGTGTGTATCCCATGTAGAGATTAGATTTAATTTAAGCAACGAACCTGGTCATGTTTTAATTGTTTTTACTCCAAACAAAACTCATGAGCAATTTCTTTTTTGCTCTGGTTACTGCTACGTAAAATATTCTTCTCTCTTCCTCTTCTTCTTTTTCTTTATTTGTGCCTATTTAAAATCTTTAGTTCCAAAAAAACTTATTTTAAATTGATAAAATTAAATTTTACCTGGAAAATAATCGTCATTAAGTCCAATTAAAAAGACTACATCCCATTCTAAACCTTTAGATTTATGGATAGTGGTGAGAGTTACTTTTTATTCAGAGCTGCTGTTTTTAAATTTAAGCTTGATATTCTTTTCTTTATTATCCGAAATGTGAGCCACATAAGGAATTCTTCCATCAAAAGTTTCTTCTTTTTTAAGAGAATTCTTTTAGCTTTTTCCTTAACTACTTTTACCACTATTCAAGCTAGCTTGACTGTCACCATCTATTTTAATAACACCTTCCTTCCCAACTGAAGTCTTTCCTTTTTAATTGTTATAAATCTCAAGAGATTCCTCTAAAAATTATAAAGGCTTATTTGTTCGACTTAATACAGCAATTTAATCAAAAGTAAATCCACTTTCTACAAGTTCCAAAATATGAGAAATAATAGACTCATTCTATTCATTTATACTAACATACTTAGTGAATTCAGGAGGTTAATTATTACCTTGATTATTTGGAGGAAATGAAGTCATCTACATTTTGTATCCATAGTCAGATTTAGCACTTTCAAGGACAGAATTAGCAAATTGTACTATATATTCTGTAGATCTATAATTACATGTCAAATAATATTTTTTTATATCAGGAAAATCTGAATCTACCGCTTGAGTGCTATTATGGAGTTTTGCTTCTCTAAATCCGTAAATATTTTGTGCGTCATCTCCAATAAAAGTGATGACAGTATTTTCGCTTGCAAAAATCTTGAGCATTTCATATTCATCAGGATTGATATCTTGAAATTCATCAAAGAAAATATAATCAAATTAGCTGACAATTTTATTTCTAAATGCTTTGTCTTTCTTCATGAGCTAAACAACTTTGGTGGTATACTCTTTGACGTAGAGCTAATCAACATCAAACTGCTTTGATTGAGTTACCCATTGCTTGCTTAGTTTATCAATATTGTTTACAGTGATAAGTTTTTCAACCTTTTCTGAAACAAGCTAATTTAATTTCTACTTGACATTTTTAGCTGCATCAACATTGAAAGCAGTAATCAAAATTTTATTAGGATTGACATTTTCCTTTTCAATTAAATACTTGACCCTGCAGAGAATCGTAGTAGTTTTACCAGATCCTGCACAAGCCTTGATTTGCATGTGGTTTTTTTTATCCTCATAAATAATCTTTTCCTATTCCTCATTAGGCTTGATCTCAGCTCCATTTTTGAGCTTAAAATCAAGCTTCCTTTTAGATGAACTCTTAAAAAAGTTAGTAATCTATCCCTATTGCATTGAATGTAAATCGAATTGAGCTAAATATTTTGATAATAATCGAACTAGCTATTTATTAGAATAATAAAAAATATATATTAATTTTGAACAAACTTGCTTGATAGAGTTATAACTAGCTAAATATTATTTTTTAATAGCAACTTTTGAATATTTATTCGCGGTTAATATCAATCAAATGGTTAATTTATAATTTAATCTAAATCTAAAGATAACTAAAATATTTTTTGTATTTTTATCAAAATCTAGTTAATGTTTTCTCTTATCAATCAATTCTTCTTTGTTTCTTTTTGTAATTCTAATTCAATCCAAAAAATTTGATAAATTTATGCTACAAATTCATCTAAATCATAATTTAAAAATTAACTCTTGATCTTATCTAATGATTTCTTAACAAAATTTAGAACTCATTTCACTATTTTTTGAAATTAATTACATCCAAATACCGCTACCTTCCCTATAAATGCATTTTTCTATTACTCTTTATTTCAGAAAGATCAAATCAAAAATTAATTAATTAAATTTTAAAACAATTCTGAACAAAATAAATTTTAAATTTAACAAAGATATTTATTTCAATCATTTTTATTTACTCCTTTAGTAAAAAACTTTTCTATTTGGATTTCTAAGAAATTTAAATGAAAAATAATATTTTAAGAATAAATTTAAAGTGATTAAAAGCTAAGAATTGTTCAATCATTTTTTTCTTTTTTAGCAAAAACTAAATTTTCTATTTGGATTTTTTAAGATTAAAAATAATATTTTAAGAATAAATTTAACACTGAGCAAAAACTAAAAACCTTTTCAATGATTTTTATTTAATCAGTTTTAAGCAAAACTAAATTTTCTATTTGGATTTTTAAGAAATTTAAATAGAAAATAATATTTTAAGAATAAATTTAACATTGAGCAAAAGCTAAGAATTTTTCAATCTTTTTTATCTTTTATAACAAAAACTAAATTTTCTATTTGGATTTTTAAGAAATTCAAATTAAAAATAATATTTTAAGAATAAATTTAACATTGAGCAAAAACTTAAAGGCTTTTTATTAAATCATTTTTAACCAAAAATAAATTTTTTATTTGGGTTTTTTAAGAAATTTAAATTGAAAATAAAATTTTAAGAATAAATTTAAAATGATTCTGAATTTCTTTTTTTTAATATCTTGTTGTTGAATTTTTTGAAGATGAAAAGAAAAAGAAAAATGAATGAATAATTTGATTTAGTTTTTTCAAGTATCCAAATTGATTTGGTTTACTCAAAAATAGCGTTTGGTAATGTTTGAAATTAGAAAGTAACTTGAATTAGAAAAGATATTTTTTATTTGCAATTTTATTTTAGAAAATAAGTATTTTTTTAAGTATTTATTTTTTAATAGTAGGTATTTTTATGAAGGATTAAATGTAAGAAAAATAATTGATTGATTGATTGATTTATATTTAATATTGCATGCTGTAATGTAATGTAAGTGTCATTTGTTCACTTACAAAAGTAAGGAAATGCATGTATGTAAGTAAGGAATATGATGGGAAAATAAAAATTATAAATTGTGTAAACAAATTAATGATTTTGTTGTATCTTTTTGATACTTAAGTAGGATTGGTTGGCTATATTTAATTATAGTTAAATCGTGTCAATTATCTTTAAATAGTTAAGTAGTTGATGTATTAGCTAAGCAACGATCGCAGTTAAGTTTAATTAATATCTTTTTATACAAAGAAAGTTAAAAATTAGTAGAGTTTAAGCCAGAAAACCCATCTCTAAAGAGCAAATGATGTCATTTTGCATATTTAGCTTATGACATTTTTACTTAAATTTAATTCCACTCTAAATTCATAATAAACAACTTTAAAGTTTTTTCTACAGGTTAAACTTATTTAAAATTGCTTAACTGATAAACATTCAACAATAAATGAAAGCAATTTTCTTCTATTCTCCTCGAAATTATTCTACTTTAGGCCAAAGCTTCACTTCAATTTTTTTTTAAAATCGCTTTAAACAGAATTCAACAGCAGTCTCTCCAAATTAAATAGATTTTTTCAATTAATTTTCAACATAATTTGTTTATCTTGCCGCTTCGAGAGAGTTAATTTTACATTGCACAAAACAAATTGAAAAGGAAGAAAAGAGTCAATTTAGCATTTTATTAGCCAGACAAATCGATAAATTTGTAAATAAGAAAGTTTTATTTAAATTGAATTGGCGAAGAGAATTTTGTCTGTCAAGTTGAATGGTGGTGTAATCGATTGCTTGCTTGACCTTTTCGAGGTGAAAAAAATAAAAAGAAAACTAGCTTTACTTTTTAATTGAAAAGATCAAAGTGACGAAATTGAGTATAATGCGCAATATTTATTTTGGATTTAAGATTTTTTGATAGTTTATTTTGATTTTGTAAAATAAATGTGTAATTTTAAATATCATAATTTAAATACTTAATATCAATTTCTTTATCAACTAATTTCTAGAAAATAATACTAAATATTTTCTATCAATTCATTAATTAAGCGAATATATTCCGAACGCAATTCCTAATAAATAAATAAATACATTTCTAATTCAAATATCCTAGTTAAGCAAGCAAAGAAATCTATTTTTTATTTATTTATTTTTTGTTTATGTTTCTTGCCTATTTTGCATGTTTGTGTAAAGTTTTCTTTGTGATTCTTTGTTTGTTTGTGCTATTGATAAAATTAAGGATTTAATTAAATCTTGATTTACATGTGAGAAGTAAATTTAGTTAGGTCCATCGATTCCGTGTAAATTCTTTTACATAGCAAATTAAAGAATAATAGACTTAATGTAAATGAATGAACCAGTTTTTGTTTCATACAGACTATGAATACAAATGAGATCACAAATTTGAGCAAAAATTAGTTCTAATAAATTCTATATTTAATCTTTTATTATTGATGTTCAAATACCTTGTTAAATCCTTTACTTTTTGTTACATCACCTATATGCTGAACAATTCTTTTATATTCAAGGGATTATCTTTTATAATTTTATTAGAAATTGTATTCAGTATAAAACTCACAACCAAATTAATGACGCTCATTCTTATCAAGCAAATAATCATTATTCTGTTTACATCCATATCAAGCAATCATCATGAACAAAACTTAATCTATTTTAAGCTAGTCTTATTGATATAGAAAGGCGTTTTATGTCTTTTTTATTCATTTTCATGTTAATTTAGCTTTTCTAGTGTGTGATTTGCTTATTAATATAATAATTTGACTAGCTTGAAATATGCAATTTAGCTATGGCTAAGTAAGTATAAAACAAATGTTTTAAAATAAGTATTTATAGGAATAATCAAATGAAATTAGTTTATATTATATATAATTAATATAGAGAATATATCTATGTATGCAAATATGCAAGCAATCAAGCAAATCAAACCAAAATGAAAGCTCCCTAAATTAATTAATTAATTAATTAACTAGCTAAAAACAAAAAAAATATAATATAATTAGTTTGTGAGCAGGAAAGCTATTTTTCTAATGGTTTAGATTATTCATAAGAAATATTTAGAACTTCTTCTCATATATTTCCTAATATCATCGATAGATAGATTGATTGATGTAATTTATTAGATTATTTTCTTTTAGCATTAAAAATAAATTAATTTAAATATGGATTTTATGAAACAAAAACAAATTAATTAATAGATAAAAAATCTATATTCTTATTCTGCATGCAGTCTATCTATCTTCAAATTAATTACCAAACAGGATAAATTTCAAAATTAATATTTATGGAAATTTAATTAATTAATTAATTAACTATTTGTTTGTTTGTTTGTGATCCATCCTCGATCCATAAACAAAGATTTATATCTAATTTCTGTATTTGAATTTGATTGAAAATTTTATATATTTGTTTCTAATCATAAATAAATAAATAAATTGATAAATCAATAATTGCTTTTGAAATTCTCAAAATAAATGATTTCAATTAATTCCAATTTTCTTTGATGTATTTTTTATTTAATTTGATTTTTGTTTGATTTTGTTAAATTTTTGCTTTGACTTTGAATCAATGAATGAATAAATGAATGTCTTTGTGTGTTTTTTTGCTTGCTTTGATTTTGGTTTAATTTTTGTATGATTTTTACTTGGCTTGGGTTATGCTTGTTTGGGTTAATTGATATTTTAATAAATAGCTTTTTTCATTGAAAAGAAAAGGAGGATTTATGAATTTGATTGATTGATTAATGTATGTATTTATTTATTTGTTTGGATATTGAAAAAGTAATAATATAATTATACCAAATAAAAGAAGAAATTTTCTGTAAATTATATAAAAAAAGTAATTTAATAAAAAAGAGTTAAGGGGATTAGTTTTTGAAAAATTCAGCAGATTGATTGTTAGCTAGCAACAAGAAATAAAACTCATAAATAATTGATTGAATCAACAAAGGATCTATAAAATAAAAATATTTGAATAGTGAAAACAAAGAGAAAACAAAATAAATCAATAAATATTAAAATAAAATACAAATAAATAAATAAACAAACAAATAAAGTTAGCTTTTTCATTTATTTATTTATTCAAAATGCGCAAGAGAAGTGGAGCACTTCACAGCACAAACCAAGAAGAGTATTTAAAGGTAATTCAATTTATCAATTTGCTTTTTTAACAATTTAAATTTTTTGCTCTCATAAAACAAACAATCAAACAAACTAACAAAAAAACAAACAAACAAAGAAATTAACAAAATCTAATTAAAAAATTTATTTGCTTTCTTGTTATTCTTTTGTTTTTATCTTATTCAGGATAGATAGGCAAAGAATTAATCAATCAATCAATCAATTCTTAAATTATCAAAGCAAATAGAAATCTTAAATAAAAGAATTGCTGATTTATCTTTCTCCTTAATTGATTGATTGATTGATAGAGCATAAATATAAACAAAAACTGATGTTTACATATGAATTTTCTTGTTTTCATTTTTTTCTCTAGATTTCTATTTATTTGCATTTTAATAATTTGCTAACTTGTCCTTTCATTGATTAATTGATTAAGAATTTAATTTAATTATTTATGTTACTGCTTCGCGGTATCTTTTTTTTTCACTCGTCCTTAATATTATAGTAAATATTCCCCTTTACTATACAACACACAATTTATAAAATATCCTTCTAACTCTAACTTTATTTCATACAACAAACAGCTTGCAGTAGAACAGCAGAAGCAATTCCAAGACATTTACTCGCTCTAGGAGAAATGCCACAGCGAAACCTTCGATCCTTATTCGGATGACGCTTAGTCAAACAGGAAAAAAAAACCTGTTTATGAACTGCGTCCCTACGTAGATTTACAAGTAACTAACTAATTTATTATTTAGTCTTCTTATAAAACAAAAAACAAAGACAAAAATAAAATGAAAGCAGCAACAAACAAATGCAAGATGCTAAATAATTCGCTTCTTCTATCGAAGTAGTTTAAGCAGTTGTTTTATATTATATAGGGAACTGACAGTTTACAAGATAAAAGTAATGAATAGGAAGATATTTATGCTGGATTAGATTACTGTTCTGTTTAATCTATGAATCAAAATGCAATCGAAAAGCAAGAAGAAAATGAACAATTTAAACCAATAAACACCCAAGTAATCAACATCATGATTGTCACAGAATTCGAAGAACCATTTGTCAAAGAAATATACAAATTGGACTCATTCAATCCAACCTAGTAAGCAAAATACTCATTAAATCTTATCTTTGTTACAAGCAAAAAATCAAAGAATCAATCAATCAATCAATCAAACAAACAAAGAAAGAAAGAAACTCAGAAAGAAGCAAAAAATAAATAAATAAACTGCGCCTATTTCTATCTATCTATCTATTAATCTATTTATATATCTATTAATCAATATCTTAATTTGATCAATAACTCACTTTTTCCCCTCTTGATTGATAGTAAGTATCTTTCTCATCCAACTTGAAAGTTAATTTATCAGTAAAATTAAGCTAAAGCTATAACCAAATCTTAGTTGAAACTGTATCGGTTAAGTAAAAAAGATATTTTGATTCATCTTAGTCAGAAGCTACTGTTAATTTTTGGATATTAAAACGAACTAATTTGATATTGAAAGATAGATAGATATATATATAGATAAATTGTTAGTTTAATCAATTCACAAAAATTCCAAAAAATATTTATTCAGTTATTTCATCAATTAATAACATTTTAACTAAAAAATTAGGGAATGTCCTACTCAAAATAAAAATAAAATGCTCGATTTAGTCATCGAGACAGAGCAAAAAGACCAAGAAGAAAAAATAGTATTTAAATTATGGATGCACAACATCTCACAATCACTTTAGTCCTCAATCCACAATCAAATAATTGAAGAAAGTAAAATAAACTAATCAGTTGAATTCAAATCTAAACATAAATTGTAAATTCAATTAGTCCATTACTCGCGATGCTCTCATTTTATCTTTCTCTATGCAGAAGGAAACGCCAAAAGCTACAACGAAGCAAATCTTTAATACGAAAAAACAAAACAAATTAAAAGTGACAACTTTAAGGCAACTTTTATAGGTGTTTCAACTTTAAACTCTTAAAATTAGATTAGTAATTTAACCTAAATAAAGGTAACAATCAATCAATATATTTATTTATCTAATTTTATCAAAGATACGAATCAAAAATTTAAATCTTGTTCAATATTTATACACAAATCTTTTAATCAAATATACCACTTGAAAACCAATAAATAGTACTAAAAATTTAAATTAATATCCAAATCTAAATTACAATCTAGCCAGCCAGCCAACCAATTATCCTTTCAAAATTCATTCATTCATTCGAATTATTTTAATTTTTCAAACTACCATAAAACCCTAAGACAAATCTTTTAAAAATCTTCAAATTAGTTCTATAAAAATTTAAAAACAACTCTAAGCATAAAAGCTAATCAACCAATAATATTTTTTAAGAAGAACAACAACCACAATCGAGCAAGCAAGCATAAACGAGCATAGCCTAAACTGACCTTTGAATACAAAGCCATATTAATAAAAAGGCAAATAGAAGTATGAATGAATGAATGAATAAATAAAGATTTATTTAATAAAGAAGATTATGATAAAAAATGGGAATTTAAAAATAAAAAAGAAATAATATACAAAAAAAATAATTTAGTCAACGAGTCTCTTCCAAAATTGGAAAGAGCATGATAAAGCTATAATGATTAATGAGAAACCTTTGAATTAAATTCAAATAATAACCTGAATATTATTTAAAAAAAGAGGCTAAAAATCTCCTTAAATAACAAATATAAAAAACCAAAATTAAACAAAGAGAAAAGAATACTAAAATTTAATGAGATTGATAGATGGAATAATGATTTGTTTTAACAAATAAGATATTTAGAGTGTTTTTAATAAATAGTATCAACCATTGTCTTAATTTTAATCCAAAATGATCTCATAGCAAATCAAAAAACCATTCTATCATATCTAATTAAATATCAAAAGTCTATTATTTAGCTTACAGCCAGGCAGTATTAATTTAAAATTCAAATTGATAAAAACTTTTTCTAAAGCCTAAACAAGCTTCAATGAAAAATCTATCTTGATACATAATTATTTAAACTTATAATCATATTATTATCAAATGAAATGATTTCTATTTGTAAAAGAATTCTTTTAGAAATAGAAAAATCTTAAAAATAAAAAATTGCAGAAGGAGAAATAATCAAAAAAATTAACATATTCTCGCCAAAAGCAAAATTATAAAAAATAGAATTTAATTTTTACTATTTTTTTATTAAAATTTTTTGAAATTCCTTAAGAAATTTCTCAACTGAACAAGAAAGCAAACAATTTTTGCTTAATTTAAAATTCCACTTGAAAATTTTGTGTCTACCAACTTACTTTACTTCGTTGTATTTAGAAGATTTTACTAAATTAATGAATGATTTTAAGATAGCTTAGAAATTTATATTTATTTATTTATTTCTTTAAAAGGATTCAGAGGACGATGCATAAGAAGATTTACTACCATAGGCAAAGATTGGAAAATTCAATAGAAGAATTAGTGTACAACAAAATAAGCTGACTTCTTGCATCCGAGATGTAATAAATTTACTCTAACTTTGCTCTAATTTCATTTAAATACTTTGATGTAAACCCCTTAAACAAACAAAGGAAAGATCAATTCAGTTTAATCGTATTGATATTCAAATTTAACATTTATTTTTATAAATTAAATTTCCCCTTAAAAATAAAAAATATCTTTATCTCTTTTTAATTTAAATGATTAGCTGTGCTAGTTCAAAGAAAGAGATATATAATCCTCTTCAACTTCATCAACTTCTTCAATATCATCAACTTCATCTACTTCCTCTTCATCATCACTAGCTTCAAGCTTTAAAAGATAGAGATAAAATATGATCAATTCCACAGCTTTGTCACCCTTACATCATATAATCATAAATAATTAACAATAGCTACTCACACAGTATTAAGATGAAAGCTTATAAATTAATACAATTTAAGTCAATGAATGAATGATCAAACAGTAAACCAAATAAAAGAAAAGATGAATGAATAACCAAAAGAACTTAGCAATCAAGAAAGACACTCTCAAGCTAAATTTCTCCGAGCTCACTGCGTTTAGCTGAATTTTGATCAGCAAAGCTTAAATAAATAAAATCTTGAAACATCTGCAAATAAGAGACTCAAATTTCTCCTATGCCTTAATTTAAAATTCTAATAAATCAATTAAAAATCCATCTATTTCTTAAAAGTAAAAAAAAGGATAAAAAAACACATTTCAAACACAGTAATAAAAATGAATGAAACGTAGATAATTAAATAAATAAATAAACTAATAAAATATAATAAATAAATAAATAAATAATAACGATAATAAAATAAAATAAATTATTTAAAAACTAGCAGCTAATCTTAAAATTATATTAAAATAACCCATAAATTAATAAATAAATAATTAAGTTGTTGGTTATTCAAGAATATAAAATTAAAAACTATTTATAATTAATAAAACATCCACACTTCATTTATATAATTGAATAGCTAGCAGCTAATTACATTCATAAACAAAAAAACAAACAAACTCATATCATTAAAAGCAAATATATAAAATTAGACTGTCATTAAACAAGCTTGTGTTTAACAAAGCTTTTATTCTTAGGTCTAGTTTGAATTAAGTATTGTAATAATTAATTAATAACAAGCAAGCAAATTATAATAAATTTTCCTCATTAGATAATTATTATGATATTTAACATTATATCAATAAATAAATAAATAAACCAACTAAATAATTAACTATTTAATTAATTATAACTAAACAAACAAACAAAAAACTATCTATTTAAATCTAACGAAAGAATCATTTTTTTTAATTAATTATCCACATTCATTAATTAGTTAAACAAATAAATTAATACTATTTTTTCTTATATAAATCTAATTATTTGAATTATTTATTATATCGTTTTAACTTTATTTTTTTCATCTTCAAAATCTATGTATATTCGTCTAATTAATTTAATTTAACATCAATCAATCAAATAAATAAATACTTATAATACTTCTCAAATATTCTCAAATAGAATAAAACTATTTAATTACCTATTTTTTTCTCATCTATCATACCTCTTTAACAAAAATCAGAATAATCACTTCAGAAAATGTAAAAATATATTCTTATTAAATATTATAAATAATAGTAAAATTTAATTATTTTGTTTTTAAAGAATTTTTTTGGAATATTTTTTATATAGCTAATCCTGTAATTAAAATATACAGATGGTGACATGTCATTTAATTTTTATGATTTTAAGCTAATTTTACACTTTCTATTTTTTAATTCTCTTCAAATATTATTAATTTTTGCAAATAATTTAAATGACTAGTATAAAATATTCACTCTATATTAAATTTTTGTTTATTCTCATGAATAATAAATATAATGTATGGTAAAGAAATAGTTATTTTTATAGTAAAAATAAACTGTTTATTATTTCAATTTATTGTTATTAGATTTAATTTTTATAATTAAAAAAATTATAAAATATTTTATTATAATTATTATTAAATAATTTAGTGAAAAATAAGATTTTAAAAATTACTTTTAGATTTTAATTAAAAAGATAACTAGGCATCAAATTAGTTAGTACTTCTAAAGAGTCAAAAGAGCTTTATTAATATTATTAAAAAAGATAATTTTAATATTTTAAATTTATTTAATTTTAAATAATAATTTATTTCTTTTTATAAATTAAAATATTCTTTTTCAATTTATTAAGCAAACAAAAATATAAAAAGATTGATTTATTTATTATTGATAGAATTAAGATATTTTTATATTTATTTTTCTAAACTATTAATGGTAAAACAGTCCATAAAAGCAGCAGAGATAAAATTTTATTAAATATTCATTATTTATCATGATCAAATATTTTTAAGAAAATATTTATTTTGAATAAAATTCAAATAATTAAAATAATAAAATTAAAATAAATTTATTTTTTAAATTATTTTTTTTTTGAAATTAAAATAAAATTAATTATGTTTTTTATGAGTTTAAAATAATAATAAAAATTAAAAAAAATAAAATGATAAAAATATCCTCTTAGATGGAACTTAAAAAGAAATGGATATAACGAATAAGTAGGTTGATAAATAAAAAAGTAAATACCATTTTTGAAATAAGATTAAATGAATGAAAGGACATCAAAGAGATAAATGGAATATTAGGAAATAAAGTAATTCGTTTATACTTAGTTTGTTAGTTAGTCAGCATAATGAAATGAAATAAAAAAGGAATATAAAAAGTAAAAAGATACAAAAAAATTAGGGGATAAAAGCTTGTATTGTTAAAAAATTTACTTAACAAATGAATAAATAACATGGAGAGAATGCAAATAATAATGAATGTATTAAGATGATAGATAGAAATATTAGAATGAATATTTATTTGATAAATGAAGGAGAATACAAAATGAATGAAATTTGTTATATATTAGTATGCCAATAAAAAGTTAGTGAGCGAGTGAGTGAGTGAGTGAGTTAGTGAAAGAGCGAGTGATTGAGTGAGTGTGTTGCTGCAAGGCTGAGTGACTGGCTGGCTGGCTTGCTTGGTTGCTGAATGGCTTGTGAAAATACATGCAAAATATAAAGAGAAAGGAATCAGAATTAAAGACAGACACTTATATTTATTTATTTTAACATTGGACATTTGCTCAATAATACATTTAATTGATATTGACTATTAAAAGTGGGTAAGAGGGAAAAAAATATAAAATTAAAAAGAAAGCAAAATTAAATACAAAAAGAAAAAAAAGATAATTTAATACAAGTATTAGCAGAAATGACCGACAAAAAGGAAAATAAGATGAGAGAAGTCAAGATCGCCAAGTTGGTTATCAACTGTTGCGTTGGTGAATCTGGTGATAAGCTTACCAAGGCTGCTAAGGTCTTGAAGGATTTATCCGGACAAGAACCCGTCTTCTCCAGAGCTAGATACACCATCAGATCCTTCGGTATCAAGAGAAACGAAAAGATGGCTGTTCACGTTACCATCAGAGGTGATAAGGCCAGAGATATCCTTACCAGAGGTTTAAAGGTTAAGGAAATGGAACTTAGAAAGAAGAACTTCTCCAACACTGGTAATTTGTTAATCTTGTTTTTTTTCTGATAAATGCTTTTTTTCAGCTTCTTTCTTCTTTGTTCTCCTGCAGCTAATAATCAATTATTCATTGATTCAAAGCATTTTGCTTAAAGCAAGATTCCTTAAGAAAGCTCTTTTTATTTATTTCAATCTCAATAATTTCAACGGCTTAATTAATATTTATTTTTAAAACAGGTAACTTCGGTTTCGGTATCTAAGAACACATCGATCTCGGTATGAAATATGACCCCTCTACGTAAGCTATTAACACAAACTCAAAAAAACAATCTTTTAAATTCGTAGCATCTGCAAAGCTCACAAAAATAAATCAAGACAAAAATGCCCTAAAACAAAAAAAAGCAATATAAAAAAGAAGCATCAAATATACAGCGAGTTTTTAAAGATTAAAAATGCAGTCTTTAATTAAAAATTCATAATAAAATCAATATGATTTTCACTTAAAGCCTTGAAGATGCTGCAATTTAAAAATGAAATTTTCCTATTAAACATTAAAATAATCTTTCCTTTTAATTAATAATAGTGGTATTTTCGGTATGGACTTCTACGTCGTCCTTGAAAGACCCGGTACAAGAGTTGCTAGAAGAAGAAGAGCTACCTCTAGAGTCGGTAAGAGATCAATTACTTTTTAAATTGAATAAGTTTAAATACTTCAATCTTATTTACTTCACATGCACGCCAATCAGCTTTCCTTCAAACTATCTATCTATCTATTAATAAATAAATAAACTGCTAAGATTAAAGATAATAAATAAATAAATAAATAAATAAATAAAAGCTCAAAGAATAATACGAATAGTTAATCTAATAAAGTCAATAAATCTCATAGCAATTATTAAATTAAAGGACAAAAAAAAGTTGTTTATTTGAAGGATATGCATAAAGTTTAGATGATAAAATTAGCTAAAAAACCAATAGAAAGTCTTAAAATTAAGCTCAACTTGTAATTAAAATCTTTGTTTGCGTTTTCTAGCACTTTTGTGTTAAGAAATAAGGACTTTTCTTGAAGTGAAATGGAAATTACTAACTCTACTATTATGCAGTCAAAACAATTTAAAATAATGCTAATATGAAAAATGAAACTATCCATTCAATATAGCAATTTTCATTAATTTAGTGAATCAAACAAAATAATTAATAAAATTAATAAGTGGTTCTTTTCGGATTTAAAAACCAACAAATCAATCAATGGTAAATTTATTGTTTTTTGGTTGGTTGGTTTGTTTGTTTGTTATGAGGCTGACTTAAAACGAAATTAGATTTAAACCTTTGAAAAATAAAAAGAATGATTGAATTTATATTGCCTTAACTATTTGGGTTACGAGAATACTTAAGGAATAAATTAATGTGTTAAATAAAGAGATAGTTAGATGGATAAACTGTTTTGTAAGCTGTTAGAGAAATTTGGTAGCAGAAATAAGAACGATGCTTGCATAGAAATAAATTAGATTGGAATTTTTATACTTACTTTAACCTTTTTTTGATATAATTAACTAATCAATTAATTAAATTATTAGGTAACAACCAAATGATCTCCAAGGAAGAATGTATCAACTGGTTCAAGACCGAATTCGAAGGCAACGTCTATTGAGAAATTAAAAATACTTATACCATAAATAATATAATTATTTAAAATTATAATATATACTTTTTTAGTAAATTATTGAACAAACGCGGCTTGTATTTGTTTTAATGTATTTATTTAAACGAATAAAAATATATTCAACTTGTAGGTTCATTCCACTCCTTCTTACTAAATCTATTTCCTTCTCTATCAAACCTAAATTTATCAATCAATCAATAAACATTCCAAATAAATAAATAAAACAATCAAACATACATAAATAAATAAATGAATAAACAAGAAATAATAAATAAATAAATAAATCAGTCAATTAAATCATCATGCATGTTTAACTCAATATAAAAAGAAAATAAATAACTTCAAATCATAAAAAATCATTCCACAAAAGTAGCTTAAAGCTTAACAAACATATCACAAGACTGCTTGAATTAAACAAGGATAAAAATGTTTCTTTCTTTCTTCTTTATTTGTTTTTTGAATTACAATTGATAATGAAACATTAAATAGGAAAAACAGCTAGTTTATGTTAGCTAGATATAGTCATTTTGATAAATAATAGTGATTGATTTAGTATTTAAATGTATAAAAATAGTTAGTGCAAATATTCTAAATTTTTGATCGAAATTAATTCAAACTAATAATTATGACTTTATTAATAAATAAATAATATTTGTATTTAATCAATGCAAATAATTTTGTACTAATTATTTTTATTTATTTTTAAGATATTCAAACTAATTAAATTAATTTCTTTCTTTGTTTGTTTGTTTAATAAACAAAATTTAATTTAATTAAAAGATTTGTTTGTTTTTTTGTTTATTTATTTAGAAACATTTTAACTAAAATTATTATATAAAATATAAATAAATAAATACATTAAATTATTTTTAATTAATTTCATATAATCATGTGCCATTGGTTGACAGTATAGACTGCGTGTCTTCTTACAGGTCTCTTTTTATGAGATAAATATCTATCTAAGATGTCAATTACGTCTTTTTTATAGCGTTTTACTAAATGATATTCAAAGCGAATGCATTCAGCCAGACATTTTATTATTTCGATGGTGCAACTTACGCTGTTATTTTCTTGCTAAAGCAATTTTAATAAACAATTTATCAAACTTTCACTGCTGCTACCTATAACATTCAAGTCAGTATTTATAAGTCTAGTTAATAATTTTATAGCACTTTCCTATTTAATTATCAAACAAAAACAAACAATTAAATTTATTTAAAATAAATATTTTAAAATAAAATAAAAATTTCCTAATTTTATAAAAATTTACAAGTCCTTGTGAGTCGGATGAAAATGTTAAAGCTTCAATTAGAATTGGTAGACTGATTGATTTATTTATCTTGAGAATAGAAAATGGACTCACCAATAAAGTTGAAGTTAAAACTAAATAGCATTTGTTTTTCATTTATATTTCTGCTGGATTGTTCTTAATGCTGTTAAGTTTATTGTAGAATACTTCCACACAAGTATTGAAAAGTCTCTGAGCATAAGTTGGAGAATAGAACAGATATGACTTTTATACCTATGCATTTTTTGAGTTCATTATTGTGTTGTAAAATTCAACAGATAAATTAGATTCTCCTTTAATTTCTGATTAAATTATCTAAGAAAGAAGTTAGAAGGCTTCATTGTTCATACTAATAAGCTATATTAAATTTAATTCATTTATTTAAAATAATCTTAACTATATAACAAATAAATAAATAAATATTACTAATCCTCTGAATATTCTAGAATACAATTTTAGCTCGAACTCTGAACTATTTTTATCAATCATTTTGCTTTTCATTACTCCCATGAATTGTTTGTACTCCTCATTAGAAAGATATTCTTTATTATTTAATAGCAATATTATTTTTATACAACTGAAAAGGAAAGAAATTATTTAGAAACTATTTAACTATTGTATTTTTTTGATAAAAATTCATCAATATAAAACTCAACTCTATCTAAATCATTAAATTATTTAAATTTCAAGCAGGGTTTTCAATTGATTTATTTCATTTTTCAATAAATTTAATGAGGGTTTAAAATGAAGTTTTATTTTTTAATTTACTTTTTTATGATCAAAATAAAAAACCCTGTTATTTATTTATTTGATTGTTTTTAATAATTTTTCTGAAATAGCAAGCATGCTTAAATATTTTTTAATACCAAGAAATCATAGCTTATTCAAAAAAAAATAAAAATCTACAATTAGCAATAGTTAAAATATAATTTAGAGTCAAAAATTGATATTAAATAAAATAAAAAATTGTAAATTGAATTTTATAATGAATAATTATTTACTTTGTATCTTATTGCCAAATAGCTTTGATAAAGAGAGAACAAAGGAAGTAATATTTTTGTCTTTAATTATGTCACTTTTTTAGATATTTTGACTGAATTAAATGAAAAAATCTTTTATTTCAATGGTTTTGCTTAACTTTTTAATGAGCTTAGTGAATAATGTGATGCTCTCATATGGCTTTTGTATAAGAGATTTAAATGAGGATATCTCTTATTCAGTTAATTCACAGTCACTTTTAATTACATTTGAAAGGATAGTCTTTAATTAGCTTCTTGTTTATTTATCTTCAATAATTAAATTATTTATTTATGTTAATTCTTAGTAGATGTGTTTATTGACATATTCTTTGTTCAGGGAAATCACTTTTTCTAATAATAAATTTATTAATTTTTGCTAATCGCGGTTGTTAATGTGTTAGATTATGAAGTCGAAGCATTCTTTCCAACCATCTGTATTATTTAAAATCATAGAATTAAATCCATTAACCACAGTTTCGTTCATGTTTTACTAACCAAGTAACCCAACCAATTTTAATTCTAAGAATGAGATTTGAGCTGAAATTTTATTTTAATACAATAAATAATAAGTATTTTTATTTCTATTTAAATAAATTTACATTCTTAGAGCTTTGAGTTAACAGTATAGCAGTATTCAACCATACATTTCTTTACAGTTTCAGAGTAGTTTTCTAATTCTGCTTCTGTTATTCCGATGTCTTCACAAACTTTCATGAATTCAATATCCTATTTATTACATCTAATTCAAACTAAATTCTATTGAAATGAATTAAATTACCATTTCTTTAGATGCCTTGCCATAAACAGCTAATTTCATCAAAATTGCTAAAGATAATATTTATATTGATTCATCATTTGTATTTTAAATTTCTCCCATCAAGATGTTTTTTAAATTCTTTTTTTTTTAATTAAATAAATTCACATTAAAATTAAAAATCAAAAAATGTTTTTATATTATTTTTAAGGTTTTTAAAAGTTTTTATTATACTTTTTCTTTTTCTTCATCAAGGTAGAAGAAGGGATTGAGCATAAAATCGCATGAGTGTTTTATCTCTTGTTCTGCAGCAAGTAAAATTACTAAGACAAATTCAAGCTATCTTTAAGCAACTATTGATTCCTTATTTGTATATCTGCTATTAAAGTACTTCACAATAGAGTTGACAATTGTGTAATTCATATTTTAATTTATGGGAATCAGAGCCTTTATAATAAATATAATAACTATTTAATCCATTAACTAATACTATTTTTTTTATTTACTTTCATTAATTTCTCAGAAAGAGCTGCATTGTGATGAAGAAGACCGTCTTCAAGGAGTTTAAAAATGTGCTTATTTACTAACTTCAAATCATCGTAATAACAATTTTCAATAATATCTGATTAATTAACCAATCAAAAACAAATAAATAAAAAAATTCATTCATTTTTCTTTATTAAAAACAGATATTTTTTTAAATTTCCATAAAAATCAAGTAAAAAATCAATAAATTTTCATTGTTTCTAATAAAAGAAATGCTAAAAAAAGTGAATAAAAAGCCAATAAATAAATATTTATCAGAGCATAATAAAATTTCCTAAATAGCTACTAAATGTTAATGCAAAAAATAACTGCTTAAATCAATAAAAACTTCTAAGAATGAATCCTTTATTATTGTTTCTAAAGCAAGAAATGCATTAAAAAAGTATTGATAAAAGCAAATAAATAAAAAAGGAAAGATATATTTAGCTAGATTTTAAATAAATAAAAAATATTATTGGATTACTTGTATCTGATTTGCAAGTAGAAGTAATGAATACAATATATTATTTGATAGAGTCAACAACTTTGTCTTATAATTCAACTTCTTCGATGTCTTAAGCATTTTCTATTAAGTTGTTCAAGATCTGTTTTCTTTAAGAAGAAAGCAATTATCCTGGAAGGTAGTTCTATGAATTATAATAATCTTTATTAAGATTAAACAAATAAAGAATAATTTTATTACTTTAAAAACTAATTAATAAGTTTGCATTGCGGCTAACTTGGCATCTATATATGAAGAGTTTATTTTTTCATTGATGATGTCCAAAGTTTTTTGCAAAATGTGCTTATTAATTAGACACAAATCAAGTGCTTCGGAAAGATCTTTTGGAGAAATCTAGTACTTTTTATCTTATTCTGGATCTGGTTAGAAATCAATAGGATAATAGCACTCTAAGTTATCAAAAATATCTTCCAAAAATGGTTTCAACATAGATAAACTGAAATTTTCCAAAACAAATCTTATTAATTTGAATGACTTAATGATGCATCTTGGATCTTTCTCATCTTCTGTAGATTCGATAATAACTTTTACATATGTTGCTCCCAATTCTACGCAGCTTTCTGTGAAATTCTCTTGCAAGAACCTCAGATTAATGTAAACGGAATCTCTCACATCTTGCGAATATTGTGAAATATTGAACTTGCTATCACTGATTTTTTCTATAAACTGCTTTGCTAAATTGAACTTAAATTCCTTAAAGGCTCCAGCCTTCTTTGAATCTATTTTTTATTTCATTTATTCCTAATGCTTGATTACATTTTTCAGTAATTCTAGCAACACCTTATTTGCAGTCTTCACTGTGGCAACATCGAACAGCTTAGTTAAGAAAAATAAATAGAGCGATTCTACTTCCTCCTAAGACATTTATAAACCTGAGTACCTGCTAAAAAACAGATAAATAAACTCAGTTGCTCTTTGTCTTGTCTTCTCTCTCCCATTCACAAAATAAAATTACATTTTTTCAAAAAACTAAAAAAGATTAATCTGATTCATCTAAAAAGCAATCAGCAACTTAGTTATACACTTTGTATCGACACTTCTATCATTAGCTTCATTATCAATAAACTCCACTATTGTCTTTTCAATGTCTTCCTCCTAATTTTTACCCTTATTGCCAAAGCTATTCAAAAAGTCTTCAATATTCATTTTAAATTTGCGCTACTTATATTAAATGTTTCTATTAATAAATGTTTAAAGTATATTTATATATGTATCTTCTACTCTATACTTAGTTAGTTAGTTAGTTAGTTAATTAATTAATTTATCAGAAATATATAGTAATTCATAACAATATATATAAATATATCTCTCCACTTTATATTCATTCATACATACAAACATAAATACATACAGAAACCATTTTTAAGCCAAATATCTAAATTTATTATTTTTTTCATTAATTTTATTAATTTTGATAGTTCTAACTAAGCAAAAACCCTAGGAATTTCCTAACATTTTATGAGAAAGTAGCTAAATTAATTCTAATTTACTTTAATCTAAAGCATTCATACATATAAGTAAACAAGCATACAAGTTAACAAATAAATCTTTTTAGAGATAATTTTTTTATAGAGTGATATTTATTTATTTAATAATTCTATTTTATATTATAAACAAAATAAATATACTCTATCTTCTCAATTATCAAAATATTTTTTTTATTTTAGAACTGAAATAAAAATTAATTAAAGCAAAAAGTAAAATATTTATATTTTCTTTACTTTATATTTTTAAAATCCAATAAATTAAAGTAATTAAAAATCAATAATATAATTAAATAAAAAAAAAATAATTTTATCATTAAATTTAAATTTTTTCTAGTTTTTAAAATAGCTTAATCTATAATCATTAATTTTTGATTTTTATAACAAATATATTATAAAAACTATTTAATTTGCATAATATTATAAAAATATAATTTAATGCATGAATTTTTTTTTTTTTATGTTTTTAATTGAGTAAAAGTAAATATTTTGCATAAAACTTCATGAATTAATTTAGGAAAAATAAAAATATTTTGTTATAATAAAACTAAAATAAAATTTAATTTAATTTGCTTTTAATATTTTTTGATTTTTGTTTGTTTACTTTTATTTATTTTAATACATTATTAAGATTTATTTAAATGATTATCTTTTATTATTTTATTTTGAGATATGTTAGAATATCACACAGACAAACATTTCGACTCATTAACTAATTAATTTTTGTTTCATTAATATATTAATTTTGACCCTTTGTTAATACTATTATTTTTTACGATTTTATATTAATGCAATTATTTAAGAGAATACTTTTTAGATGTTAAAAATCTTTTTGCTTTAAATAAAATAAATAGGATTATTAAGAAAAGGAAAAATAAATTGATTTATTTCTTTTGAATTTCCTTAGCCCTTTGTTAATACAAGAGTTTTTTACGATTTTTAAAAATGCAATTTTGTTAGAAAATTTGATTATTTCAAAAAGTATTTTTGCAAAAATCTTTTTCATTAAATAATTTAAATAGGATTGTTAAGAAAAGGAAAAATAAATTGATTTATTTCTTTTCGATTTATTATATAAACAATATCAGAAATACTTTTACCTTTGTTATTTTTTTATCATCAATTAAAAATTACTTAAAATGGAAGTAACATAGTCTTAACTAACATTAAAACAAATAAAATAAAACTTAATTGAAAAAAATTGCTTGATGATTAAAGATTTTACAATCGGTTTTCCCACAGGAGATGAAGCTCTTCCTATGGATGACTTCTTTCTGTTAAGTGATAAAGGGTATTAGAATTTTAAAGTATCTAAAATAATAATATTTGAGAATTAAAAAAAAGAAGTGGTTGCTATTCAATTTACATACAAACAATATCAAAATTAAAAAAACAATGAGAATTATGAAATAAAAGGGAATTTAATTGGTCAATAAGAAACAAGCGATTTACTTTAAAAATCAATAAACTTGCAAGATGATCAGTTCATCACTAAAATAACTATTTAAGTAGAATTTATTATTGGAAATATTACTATTATTTTGAGTAATGGAAGAGAATACTTCTTTGGAAATTACCATAGAATGGATTATGAATATTTCGAATTTTCTGCACCCAAAGGATTTCACTTTACTTGCTTTTCAGGATGCACAAGTTCGCACTTTAATGGTTTGTGCCTTTTAAAAGCAGATGTTTGCCCTATTGAATAACATAATAATCGTGATCATAAATCTAAATTTATCGAAATTATTCCAGATAATAAATCTGTTTTAAGATTGATAATTCCTTTCTTAACTGTTAAGGAGATATCAGTCTTGATGAGAACATGCACTCTTTTAGCAAAATTAATATCAAATGAAGATTTATTTATTGATGAAATAGAAAGAAGAGCTTTATTTAGTGGTAATAGCAATTTAAATAAATATTATCAAAAAATAATAAGTAAATATAGTAAGGACAGCGAGAAAAGAAATATTCTAATTTCATATGAAGATTGCTTTAAAAATTATGTTGAAAATCCAAATGGAGATGACTAATTTTAAAATTTTTAATTTCTTTAGGGAAATTAAGAAGCTGAGAAAAATTACAGCTTTATTGAAAACTTAAATGGATTAACTCATTTCAAATTTTCCTTCATAGAAAAAACCTTAGTTTGGGAAAAATATTTGCATGATTTATTTACTTCTAAAAGTATAGAAAATATAGAAAATAGGTAGTTAGCTATTGTCTTCGGAATTGAGATAGCAGACAGTAATTATGGAGGCAGCTTGCGAGCAAAAGTAATAATTGAAGATTAAGAATAAAATTCTATTTTTTAACAAAAATAAGAATTTAGTAAAATTTAGAGAGGATTTAAGTTTTATAACATTGCTAGTTATGTAAAATCATAGTAATCTAAGCCCCATAAAATCATTTTTTCTATATCAGGAAAAGATTCTAGATTTTGGAAAGGGCATTTTGGTCCAAGACTGAGATCAATTACATGCAAATTAATTCCTATTTAAAATAAATAGCAAATTAATTTATTCAAAAATACTATGAAAAATATATTTTGAAATTTTAAATATGATTTTTAATATAAATAAATAAATTAATTAATTTTTTATATTTTAGTTTCATTTTAACGAGTAAAAAAATATCAAAAAATAAATATGGTGTATATTTTTATATTAAAATTTAAAATTTATTTAATATAATAAACATTTTTGATATTACCTAAATATCTAAAATTTTAGTATATAACCTAAAAAAGGCAGTACCTTAGGATAATATACATATATATATTTGTTTGTAATAGATTGTTGATAAATTAGATAATAGACCTTCTTTATTTATCTATGAAAAATCTTGTAAATTTTTTATTTAATTCAATTATCTTAAAAGAAAAAGATAAAAGCAAAATTTAAAAATTATCTTTATGTTTTTATCAATTTATTATTTTTGTTCTATATAAAAAACTAAACATTTAACAAGTTTTCTTAAAATAGTACTTTTTGGTCAATTTTTTTAGTTAGAACTAGGTAAATAACTATGTGCTATTTCAATTAAATTTAATCTATAAATAAATTACTTGGATTTTATATTAATTAGATTTATTCTATTAAATATTTGCTTTATTAGAATTGTTTAATATTTAATAAATTATTTTTATGGGTAACTAGAATATGAATATTTAATAAACGTCAGGATAATTAGTTTAGCTTAAGTAGATGTTAGCACTTGAAAACAGACTTATGCTCAAAGATATTTCATTAGGTTTCTCTACTGGAGATGAGATACATCCTTAGGATGACTTCTTTCTGTTAAGCGATAAAGGCTATTAGAATTTTAAAGTGAGTGAAATTGTATTATTTGAAAATTAAAGTAATGAACTGGCTGCTATTTAGTTTATATATAAACAATACTAGAATTTAGAAAAAAATTAGGATTTTACCATTAAAGGAAATATAATAGGCCATTAGCAGATAAAAAATATGAGTTAAAATAAAATCAAATTTTCAGATGATGAATTTATTATTGATATAAAGGTATATGTAGAATATGTTATAGATAAAATTAAGATTTTTTTGAATAATGGTAAATGTTTTACTTATGGAAGTCGCCAAACAAGTAAATAAGAGACTTATTCTTTTACAGCACCTTAAGGGTTCCACTTTACTTGTTTTTCTGGCTCGACAAGCTCTCACTTTAATGGTTTGTGCATTTTAAAAGCAGATATTTGCTCTATTGAAAAATATAATACTAATCCAAAATCAAATTTTATTGAAATAATTGCTTCAAATAAATCAGCGTTGAGATCTTTAATTCCTTATTTGACTGTTAAGGAAATGTCAATTTTGATGAGAGCTTATAAATTGTTTGCAAAAATATTATCAAATGAAGTTTTGTTTATTGACGAAATAGGAAGAAGAGCTTTATTTAGTGGTAATATCAATTTAATCAAATATTATCAAAATCTAATTAAGCAAGAAAGTCTAGCTAGCGAATAAAAGAATAATCTTAGAACTTATTAAGATAATATTAAAAATTATGTTTAAAATCCTCATGGAGAAGATAAATTTCGTGGGTTCGAATTTCTTAGTGAATATGGGCAGGCAGAGCAGAAAGATTCTTACATTGAAAATTTGAATGGATTGACTCATTTTAAGTTTTCATATATGAAAAATATTTTAGTTTGGAAAAGAAAGATGCATGATATCTTTACTGCTAATGACATAGAAAATATAGAAAACAGTTCCTTAGCTATTGTTTTTGGAATTGAAATAGCTGACAGTAATTATGGAGGTAGTTTAACAGCAGAAGTATAAATACAAGATGAAGCACATAACTGTATATTTATCCAAAGGAAGAAGTTTGATACAATATAAAGAGGGTTCAAATTTTATAACATCGCTGGTTATATCAAAAAATAGAACTTAAATTAATCAAAGCCTTAAATAATAATATTCTCTATCTCAGGTCAGGATTCTAGATTTTGGGCAGGACATTTTGGACCAAGGCTAAGATCAATTACCTGCAGACTAATCCCTGTTTTAACTTAATAAGAAATTAACCTGTTTAATAACAGTTTTAAAAATGTCCAATGAACAAAAAATATAAACATTAATAAATACTTAAAGTTTGTTTTTATATATCTTTAAATATAAAACTATTTTACTTTTTGTCAAAATTATTTTTAATTAATCAAATTTATTTTTCATAATTAATAAACAAAATTTATTTATTTTTATTTTTTAAATTTACTATAAATTCTTGATTTAAAAACCCTTTTAACTATTGATAGGCTAATTAATATTTAACTATTAAAATTTAAACTTAAAAATAGTTTTAAAAATCTATGAAATATTTTTTTATTTGAATTACATTATAAAATTTATTTATTGAATAATAAAAAAAAATTATCACTTATTAAAATATATCATCAAACAATACTTCTTTTATTATTATTTGTTTAGAAATAATGGTTCTACTGATTGAAGATATTTAGAGTAATGATTGTTGAATTTAACTTAATGATGGTTTAATTTACTATTATCTTGAAAGAAATAAAAATTAAGTAAAAAATTTAATATAAAGCTGAATTACATTAAATAAAAAATGTAGTTAAATGTCAAAAGAAAAACATAAGGAAAGTGAAAAAATTTTAGTAATTACTGAAAGAAGATAATTAAATGAATTAAACTAAAATGATTTTACAACTGTATATACTTTAAAAATCTCTGTTGGAATGCAATAAAGAGGCTATTTAGATGTTGTTAGTTAAATTATTTATTTATTCATCTAATTATATAGATATGAAATAAGAGTCAGAAAAATCTACATATAAGATATCTATGCATATAATAATAATAATTTAAATATGAATGGTTCAATTAATTGATCGCTGAATGAATATAATTGATTATTTTTGAAAAATTTGTTAGTGATTTAAATTTCATTTGAATATTTTTCGCGCAAATCAAATTGAATTATATACTTTGATATTTGCAGTGCTTGTTTATTGATTTATTTATTTACTTGCTTAGATTTTTTATGTTTTGATTTGATTTTTTTTGAACAGATTTCAAAGATTCAATTGATTTTACAAAAATTGTATCAAAATAAAAGAAAATAAACAATACAATATTACAAGGGTAAGATAAAAGGAATATTGAATATCAACCCGAAATTGCTATTAAAGAATATAAAAAGTGTTAAAGATCAAATTTTTGAATAATAGATTAGGATTTACAAATTTAGCAGTTTATTATAGGAATATAGATAAAATATAAAATGAGCATCAGCGAAAATAACTGGAATGGTGATTAATCTATCTTATCTTTAAATATTATTTAAATATTGCTTTTTATTATAAACTGTAACTGAGTTATTTCTTTAAAAAAAGCTTCTTTCCTTATACACTTGAGTTAGCAAAAAAGAAATTATTTGTAGAATTGTCTAAACGAGGACATTACTCCACATGTTTCAATAATTACAATTTTTAAAAAGTCTGAGTAGGGTAAATTAGCATTTAAATGGTATTGATATTTTAAGTAAATCATGCTTCAATATTATAAAAGACCCTCATTAGTATATAGAAATGAATTTGAGCAACCAAGGACTAAACGATATAGATATTTTGCCTCTTTTGAGAACACTATCAGTAAAATAAAAGAAAATGTTTTAAAGAAAACATATTTTTAATTTAAAAATAGAATGACAAATATATATTGACGATAGATTTCAGCTATAATTAATTAGAAGTAAATAATATATTGATAGATAAATAGATATTTCTTCAATACTATTTAAATAATATCATTAAAACATTCATTTAATTAATTAATCAATAAATAAATTCATCTTTTGCCTCTTTTTTGTTACTTTGAAATTTAAACATTCAAAATGCTTTAAACCTATTTTGAAAATTAATCATTCATACACTCAATCTTCTTAACAGTTGTTATTAAAAACATCAATTTAACCATCTTAAACACTCCATTCAATATTTGAATTTAAATTTTGCAAAATTTCTAGTCCAACCCTATCAATAACCTTCAATCATTTTATAAAATTTAGTAAATAACCTGTTTCTTCGACCTTATTAACGATTAGAATACAATTCAAGCAGTAATTCTTACAGGCAATTGTAATATTTATATAAGCTTCTATGATATTTTACTAAATATTATTATTAAATATAGACCTAAATGAAAATCACATTCAAAAATTGAAAAATTTTGCTATTCAATCAGAAAAGAATATTTGCATAGAATCAGAAAGCTAGTATTCATTTAATTAGATGTGTATTTAATAGCAATAGTAGCAGTAAGGTAAGGCTTAATCTCTTAGAGAGCAGGTATTAGAGAAAATAAATCAAGCAAAGTAAAACATTAATAACTCAGCTAGTCATAGCTCAAGCATAGCTTCTAATTCTACCAATGCATAGCAACTAACTACAAAGCAATCTTAAATTGGAGACAATAATTCAAACACTTCTTAATAAAGCTAGGCATTTAACATTAATTCAACATTAAATTCTTGCTAAAGCAATAAAACTATATAGTCACCTTATTAGTAATTACAATAATAATAGCTCCCAATATAATAAGTTTCTAGTTTCAAAGCAGGTAAATATTCAAATTATTTCTAAATTTATTTTATTTCACGTTAAAAAAATTTATATTTTGATGATAAATAATCATTTTATAAATTAAAAAAATAAAACATTGTTTTTTGCATTAAAAAAATTCATTTGATTAAAGAGATTCATTTGAAAATTTTATTTTTATAAATAAATAAAATATTTTAATAATTTTTAATAGGTTTAATTAAATAAGAAAGCATTTGTAATTAACAGCAATTAAATTAGCAGTAATAAAAAATTTCAAAAGTTAGAACTGGGGTTTTACTTAATTCTATGGTGCCACCTCTTGATTTACAGAGAATAGCTGTTTAAAAGAAACCAAATGCTGTGACTGATAGATCTTTATCTCCTTGTAATAGCATTAACTAATAAGGATTATTATAGAATTAGATTATCTAGAACTAGTAACAAAATACAGAAAGAATTAACACTAATGAATAAAATAGCTCAAATAGATAACCTTATCATATGGTTAGTGGATATTTTTCTAGCAGACAACCTTACATGAATCAATAGTAATCTACAACTAATATTCATGGCAGCAAAAGCCCTATTTCGAATAGAGAGTCAAACCAAAAAATTCTTATTATGAGTAGAATGAATTGGCTTATTGAAATTAGAAATATCTTCGAAGGAATTGAAAAATAGGGAAAAGCTAGCATTTAAGATTTAGTTAATAGCATTATTAGTAAATAAGAAGTAAAAAACATTTTTTTGTTTCTATTTGATTTATTTAAAAAATATTTTTTATAGGATTTTTAATTGCTTGAAGAAGAAAAATATAATGAAAAATACAATGAACTAGGATTGAGTGTTAAAGATGTTACTAGAGAGTTAAGATATTATAAAAATTAGTTTATTACAATGGATGAAATATTTAACTTAGTAGGGAATATTTAGCCTGAGCAGGCAAAAATCAAAAGATGCATTAACATATTCTAGCAAGGTGATAAAACATACGAGTAAATTGAAAAGATGAGAAGAAAAGTTAATGGAAGTAATGGTAATTTGAAAGCAAATAACTAAACAAGCTTGGAAAGGAGTAACAGCTAAATAAATGTAAATGGAATCACAATACAAACTCAATTACCATTTGCTAATATGAATTCATAAAACACATTGAAGACTCCAAAAAACCAAGCCATTATGAATATTAATTCAGCTTGCAATACAAACCAAAATTTTAATGCTAATACAAACAATAATAATATTAACTAAAACAATCAACAAAGTTCTTCTTCGAAACACCAGCACTCTCAAAGCTATAATGGAAATATGCAAGTATTAAATGGAAACAATCTTGTTAAGAGCAGAAAAAATCTACAAGAAGCATTTTAAGAATAAGAGAATTTAGAAAAAGATGATAAAATTCCAACATGCGAACTACCTAAATAAAATAAATAATATTTCCCTTCAACTCGCCATAAAAAGAGAGACCAAATGAGATTAAAAAATGAAAATATGATTAATGTTTAATTTTAAAATAACACAAACATCGAAATGTCTAAAAGCAACATAGAAGGTATGTCTTCACCTGTAAATAAAACTTAGATCCCTTCTTCTTATTAATATTAATTTTCAAATTAAAATATTGCTTAAAATCAAATGCCAAATCAAGATAAGGATACAAGATTTATATAAAAGGAAAGTGATAAATAAAACAGTGATATTTTAATTACTTTGGCATAAGAAGAATTAGAAGAATATAAAATATGCAACAATCCTTATCAATAAAATAATAAAAAATAAAATAAAAATATCACTGAATATAAAGCTTAGAACTGTTATAACTTGTAAAACTAGCAATTAAATTCAAACTAACAGTTTAACAAAATACCTCCTTTACCAAACAGCTCAAGAGTTCACCACAGCAGCAATGTCAATCTTCCTCCAAAATAAAATCAATTAAATAGAAACTGTTCATCTGTAGGAAAATTTTAATCTCCTTAATGCATTAAAAAACTATCTTCAAATTAATCCTCTGGTGGTGGTTATGTTAATAACTCACTTTAGTTCAAATCTCCTGAAAAATCAATCAGAGATGAAAATAATCTTAGTCCTAGCTAATATTTTGTAAAGCCAATAGAATCAATTAAAAAACATTCCACTAATGACTTATTAAACAATCTCACTTCAAATAGTAAAAAAATAAAAAATTCTTAAAGTCAATCAAATATCATACAAGATCAACAATAATAATTAAACAATTTATATTAAAATCAACATGTTTTCACCAACAATTTAGTTTAAAGCACCACTAACAATTACTTACTTAACAGCAGTTAAAACACTTAAAATACAAACTCAAACAATAATTATAATAATGTAAATAGTCTTAAAAATAATACTTAAAATAATAACAACAATATTCAAATCAAATCAAATGTTGAAATTTAAAAGCTCCCTATTAATATAAATAACATTCAAAATTAACAAAATAATGCACATATTTAAGAGAAGAGGATCAACACTGAAGACCATGATATAGAAACTGCCAGATTCCATAGAGAAGATTCTCTTAAATAATTTGATTCTATTAAAAAATCAAATTAACCTTATTTCACTAACTCCAATGAAGATAAAAAGAAAAACTCACTAAACAATGAAGAAAATATTTTAAACAGCAAAAGTAAAAAAGTAATTGTCATAACTTAATAACAGCAAGCTGAAGCCTTAGCTTTTTCTCAAAGAGGTATGCCTCCAAAGAAAGCTTTACAAAAAGTTAGTTCTCAATGCTAATTACTGTAAAATCCTATAAATAACTTACAGCATTCAAATACTTAATCAGCTCTTTCTTCTACAAGAGCAAATCAATCAAACGACAAATGCTTTGTAAGCTTATCAAAGTAATAAATGCAATTATAATAATAATAATAATAAATATCAGAAGTTTAACAAGAAAATTAATAAATCTAAAATATTTAAAGATAATCAAGCAGCTTAACTTTGAAATAGCAACTTAAATAACTTGGTTTGTAAGGAAACAATCAACAATAAAATAATTAATAAATCTAAGATTAATTTTCTAGAGAGAAACAATAACAAATTTAGTCCAAGTAGTAATTTGTGTAGCAAAATAAATAAAATGGTTTCGGTCAAGTAATGAATAACGAAAGTGGAGGAAATGTGGATTATATGATTAATTCACCTTTTTCCACATAAATGAATATTTCAGCTATAAAAATGAATGAATCTTGCATGAAAAACGTAACTCTTTAAGACATCGCAACAGAACTGATGGCTTTAGGTGAAACTAATAACAAGGATATTGTGGATATTTCCAAGCTTATGTAAACTACAACGACAGTTTATAATAACACATCGAATTTAGCTGCTTCTACATAGAATATTAATAATACAAATATATTCAATTCTCTTCAAGCAGGAAATAATGCAGCTCCCAATTTCGCTTCAGGAAACAGCACACCAAAAGTTATTTAAAATTAAAATTAAAATATGATTGCAAAATTTAGTAATGGTACTATTTGTGCTAATAATAACTTAAAGAATGAGCAGCTCGAATGTATTATGGAAAAAGTAGTTTAAGAGAACACAATCAACTAAGATGAAGATGATGGAGACAGTAAATAAAATAGTAAAAAGCCATTGAAGTTAGAAGAAAGTGAATAAAGTATCTCTGTTTAGAACTAAAATGAACAAATCACTCCTTCAGCCTCTCCAACTTTAAATAATTAAAATTCTCATTTAATCCAATCAGTTTAATCAGACGATGATAGAAGAGAACTTACTTTTAGTTCAAGAGCTATGCAAAAAATAATGAAAAAAAGATAGTTCAATTTTAATTAAAACTCTATCAATAGTGATTCAATTTCAAATGCTAACTAAAACAACAGTCGAGTTTCTTTTTAGTAAAATTGCAACAGTTATATCAAAAATCTCAACACAAGTGCTAACCTCTCTAGTAATACAAAATACAATAATGATCCAAATATTTTTTCTTTTAATGATTCTGCAAATAAACATTTTTGTCAAAATATCTAAGAAATTTCTCACAGCTCTTAAAATAAATAAGATCAAAATAAAAATATATCTGAATTTTAAGGTTCTAATCAGATTAAGACAAATATGCCTCCTGAAAACTTACGCAGAATACTCGATAAGGAATTTCCTACAGGATTAATTAAGTAACAAGATGAAATTGATGACAGTTTAGCTGATTTCCTTGTTAGCAATAACTTATCAGAATACATCAATTTTCCTAAGTAGTTAGTAAACAATAATGAGAGAAATAGAGAGTCTATAAATAATAACTAAAACAAATAAAATATCCAAAATTACGGAGTTTATTCTTCATTTGGTAATAAAAACTAATTGATCTAAAACAGCTAAGAAAATTACTCAGGTTCAATGATGCAAAAGAGTTAAAGTTTCATCAATATTTCTTCTACTTAGCAGATTTCTAATATTGAAAATGAGCAATTAGAAATTTAAGATATTTCTCGCTTGAATTAATTAGAAGGAGAAGACGATGAAGTAATTTTGAATGAGCAAAGTACATTTTCTCGTTTATAATTTAGGGAAGACGAAGAGAATAGTTAGTTATTTGATGAAGAAAACGAAGATGAATCTGATAATAAAAAAATTAAATTCAATCAGAATTCTAAATAAAAAGTAAATAAAAATTAAAATGAAGTAGAAGACTTTAACAAGAAACAAAAGTCTAATTTTGTCTAATAAAATTTACTTGAAAATAATAATTTAAAAGAAAAATAATAAAATTTAGTTAGCTCTTAATAGGAATATCCATTAATTTTTGGCGAAAACTAGATATTGACGTAGTCATACAATGATGAAAGCAGCAATTTCTTTACAGTAAAATCTTAGTTTGAAAAAACAAGCATAATGTTTAAAGACTTAGTTAAAAAGATGAATGACGATTGCAGCAGAAATTTAAGTGAAAATAAAAGATAACTTTTGCAATAAGTTTGCAACTACATCCCATATGAAGACAATGAATTACCCTTCTATGCAATCAAGTTTGATTACATCAAAGAAAATCCTGAGCACATTGAAATTTTATCTTCTTAACTTATGCGTTAATATTTCTAAAATGCGTAAGCAGTCAAAATAACATTCAGTCAAATAGAAAAAATTCCATAATTTTCATCAATAACAAATTAAAATCTGCTCCACAATAATTTGAGAATTCTTAATTTATCCTTTAATAGCATCAAGTCTCTGAAATCAATAACAACTTCAGATCTTCATAACCTTGAATTCCTAAACATTAGTTATAATTATCTAGAGAACTTGGATGGCTTAGAAGATCTTTACAAATTAAGAGAACTCCATGCTTAAAACAATTAAATTTCATTTATACATTCAAAAAACACAGCTCCTCTTGAATAAATTAGATAAATTGACTTACAAAACAACTTACTTCCAAATCTAGAAGCCCTTGTTGCTCTTTAACAAAACAAGTTCCTTGAATTACTTAACTTTTAAGGAAATCCTCTTACATAGTTCCCCAATTACTCAAAATAAGTTTCTAAATTGCTAAACCATGTGAAGGCAATAGATATTCCTGACCCCAACATCATCATTTATGTAAATTTATTTTATAAAAAATAAAAATTAATATTTTTCTACTTTCAGATAAAAAAATAAATCTTTTAAAAAAATAACTTATTATCTTTAAATAGAATTATTATTTTTCAATAATTAAATGATTAAAATTAATTTTTAAAAATAAATTGTCAAGAATTAAAAACATTGATAATTATTTGTAATTATCCTCTTAAATAGTAAATAAATAAATATTTGATAATAAAAATTTTTTAAAAATAGACTTTATCTGATTATAGCAAGTATCGTGAGATATGTTTCATAGAGGAGAATGAGTTGAAGACATTTTAAATGAGGCAATAAATGAAGTAAAGTATGATAAAAAATTCATAGGAAGTGTAGAAGAAAGTATAAAAATTAACAGTCAATACAAATGACTAAGAAAATTAAGCAAACAAATTCAATTAAATCTATTAGAATAACATGCCACAAAATTTACAGTCTCCCTCTAAAAAAATATTATAATATCGCTCTCTAAGTCCTCAAAGTAATAATTAATTTTAATCTTTTGCTGCAAGTAAAATACAACAGTAATCAAGTTTTTACTTCTAGAGCAGTAGCAGTAACTAAAACTAGCAGCAAACTAGTTAAAGTTTAAAGTAATCAAACATCAACTAAATCTAGTAAGTAAATCATTAAAACTCTTTAGCTGATAATTAAGATTGTAAAGAGAGTTATTACTTTCAAACTGAAAGAGGCAGTCATAGCAGCAATCATTAGTAAATGAAATCTTAGAATAATGAAATCTATTAATCTTCCACCAATATTTCTTCTAATTTAATAAACCAATAAAAAATGCCTTAATCAATTCAATTAATGAAAAAAAGTATTTGTAGTGTTTAAAGTGAAAATTCTTTGCCTCAATAAAATATTGAATCAATTATCCAAAGATAAAAATTAGAGTAATATCCAAGCTAGCTCAATCTTCAAGAAAATCTTCCTCTAACAAATAGATAAAAATCAGAAAAGCAAAATAATTCTAGAGAAGAAGAACAACCAAAGATTTTAATTAATTATAAAAAGCAAGGTCACAACATATACCAGCTAAGCTAAAAAAATGAATTAATACATCAAGAAGACACTTAATAGTAATTCAGTTAATATAACAGTAAAGATAAAGAGTATTTTTACCAAGATGAAAATGTAAACGAAATTAATATTTAGCACAGTTAATCCTAGAATTAGTTCTTTGTTTAGAATCAAAATTCTAAAATATCCCAATCCTACCAGCCTTATTAAAGCACAGATGAATAAAATAAATAAGAAGGCAAAAAACTTTTTAAGAATCCCAGTTAATTGTTCTAATAGAATTTTTGTAAATTTATTTTTTGAAAAAAAAATATTTTGAAAAAAATAAAATAAAAAAAGAAAATCTTCAGACGAACCAAAAGCAGACTGGATAGCTCTCACAAATGATAAAAATGAAAATAGGAAAAGCACAACAACAATTCCAACAACAGCAATGTAATTATTTATATAGCAAATTTAATAAAAATTTAATTTTTCTCATATAAAATAGAGTAAAACCCCAAGAAATTTTGAATCAAAAGCATTATTTAAATAAATAATTAAATTTATTTAAATCAATAAAAAAACTTAAATAGCTGAAAATTTATTTATTTCTTTAGAATTCTAAAAAATAATATTAACAAAAAATTTTTATATTAAATTAAATCTAAATTATATCTTATTTACTTAATTTTGTAGAGTTCATAAATAATTTATATTAAAATATATAGTGTTAACTTATTCATTAATATATGATATATCTATAAGATTATTTATTCATTGACTATTAATATAAAAATTCAAAATATAATTTACTAATAATTTTTTTATAATAAATAAATTATTATAATTTGAAATTAATTACTTATCTATGCTGTTATAAAAATCAATAATTTTACTTTATTAATTAATTTGTAATTGATATATACTTTAAAACGATAAGATTATTCATTATATAAATTATTATGGAAGTATCTGCCGGGTTTGTATATATTTCTAATTAAAAGTAAGTACAATTTTATAATTATTGACTTAATAAATTAATTTTTCTATGTAATTTTAATTAATTAATACTGTTTAAAGCTAATAGAACTTATAAAAAATTTATGTAATTAAAATCAAATGCATTGAATTGGAATTAATTTATTTACTATTAATTAAAAATAAAATAATTTATTTTCTTTATTTTTAATAATTATTAATTTACATAATCTTGATAAATACTGTTTATTTAAAACTTCTAAAATAAAAATCAATATATTTTATTTACTATTAATAGGGATCGACAGTATAAATTTCATGATATGGTATACGGTTGAATAATTTTAAGATTTATTCAAAAATATTTATATTTTATTTCTTTCAAATTTCACACCTACCCCTTTAATTATACATTAATTAAATAAATTGCTGATAATTTAATATTCATAAATTATATGGAAAGAAATATATAATTTTTAAAGAATTGTGTGATAGATATAAGATGAAAATTAGAAAGAATAAAATTATTATAATTAAAGAAGGGATTTAAGACAATTGATAAATTATTAAATGATATTGATAAGATTATAAAAAGAAAATAAAAAAATTAGTGTGATAAATTATTGATATATTAGATTAAAATAATAAGATATAAAATAGAACTGATATTCTTTAAGAAATTCAGAGTGAGTTAATTAATACAAATGTACGATTATTATATAAATATATCGAAGGTTATATTATTTTATTATAAATTTAAATAACTAAAAAGAAATTTTATATTAAATTTATAGTTTATATCTATATATGTATGTATAGAATTACATTTATTAAAACAGAGAGAAAATAACTAAACATAATCAATTAGCTACAATTCAAGGACCAAATAATAAATTGATTTGTTAGGCAGAAACTATTTTTATCACTCATTTATTATTAATTGATTGATCGATTGATTGATTGAATGAATGAAAGATTAATTGAATGATTGATTGATTGACTGATTTGGTTGATTTAGCTAGTGGTTGATCAACCGAATTATTAGTGATGTTTTGTTTGTTAATATGTATGTATGTAGGTAGTTATTGATAGATTTAATTAGAATAAAAGAGTGCTGTGTTAGTTCTTTATCATTACTATATTTATATTTTCTGAAGTTGTTAAAATATACAGATAGATACATAAATAAAAGTTAGTTAAAATGATTGATTTGTGAGCATTTTTAAATTTATTTGTTTGATTGATTCTAAACATTAAATATATTCTAGTAATTAATATTTCAATTAAAATATTAGTAATTATGCTAAGCTGTTTTAATTAAATATTAGTTAAAGTTTTCTAGATTAAGATTTGAAACTATTTATATTTTTTAATTTATTTATTTAATTTAATCATCATTATGATTGTTTATATTATAATTATTATGGTTATTCTATGGCTTAATTTTAATTTTCAGTATACTTAGAGATAGATAATTGAGAAAAGATATTATATTATATTATTTATACTATATTTATGAGGTTAAGATTAAAAAATATTTAAATTAAATTCATATTTTAGTTTGATATTATTATTCATTTGTTCGTTATTTTATTTTTTCAAGGTTAGCTGTCTTTATTCTGCTATTATTAGAACTTGTACCATACTCCAATTACATCCATGATCTTATCATATTCCCTTTCTTTATCAGTGAAGCTATAATCATAATTCATGGAAAAAATTTTATATTTAAGTGTTTGTCTGTCAAAATCGACTCGGAGAGAACCAAATGCATTATTCTTTTTAAGTTTTACCTCAATAATCAAACACTAATTATATTCTATTTCAAAATCAATAATGAATTCATCTTTTCTTCTTAAAACTAAGTTATCAATCTCTCTGAATAAATTTGTAACATCTTGTTGTCCCAAACCTCTCTAATCACAGGCTTGTCTTATGTATTCCTTTGCTTTTAATACATTTTATTCTTATTCATAATTATTCTGAGTTAAATTTTAAGGCATATTTTGTGCTTGTTGCTGTTATTGCACATTATATCTATTTTAAATATCTTCGTAGCTTCTACTTAGGTTCTGTTATTCAGGATTATTGTATCCTATATTTTCATTATAATTTTATTGTTTAATTGAATTTGGGGGAATTGAATGTTAATTTTGAAACTGCTAAGCTTAGTGCTACTATTGTTTCTAGTATTATTGCGCTTGTGCCATCTATTAGGGCACATGCAATTGCTATTAAAATGAAGAATTTTATTATTGGTAATAAATATTACTATTTTCTGAAATATTGTGAGGTTGAATTTGTTAAAGGTTTTAAGTTTGTATTTAAGATGGTGTGTGTCCTCCAATTCCTTATTACTGCTGTTACGGAGGAGTGTATTAATTGCTTGAAGATAGATGATTAGAGTTTTAGAGGTTATTTTTCTAAGCAAAATTTTATTAATTTTATCCCTGTTATAATTTTAATTATGAATTTACTTATTAGTTTGGCTATTGTAGTCCACTGCTATTTTAAGGGTTATTAGCCATTTGCTATTATCCAGTAATCTAATTTGGATGAATTGGAATCTACTGCTAAGATTAAGGTTTTTGCACTTAGTTTATATTTTAGTTTGGCTGTTGTTACTTCTAATAATGAGGCCCATATTATTACTATTGATTATTTGGATTAATTTTTTCCTGATTTTATTACCTTTATTGCATTCCTTATAACTAAGCTTTTTGGTATTAAATATTGTTGCTAGGGTTTTGCTATTGCTATGCTATTTCTTATAACTATTATTGGTGTCTTAGATCTTGCTATTACTTCTAATTTGGATTGGGATTCATCTGGTTTGGATTGTTATTTATTGGAATATTATTTTGCTTAATCTACTATCCTTATTGTATAATTTGACCATTTACTGCTTAATTTTATGGTCCAGCAGCATTCTTTTATCCTTATTGCGGTGTATTTCTTTGCATCTAGTTATTTTATATGCCTCCTTGCTACATTTAGCTTCCCTAAGTGCCAATCTATGGTTGAGTTGCTGCTTATGCTAATTATGGATTAACCTTTATCTACATTTAGCCATTTCTTTGAGGTGTTGATTACTAAATATTTTGAGGTGGTTAATTATTTACTTAATTCGGGAAACCTTGCTACACTTATTATGGATTGCCAGGCTATAAAGGTTACTGCTACTATACTTGTTATTACTATACCATTTGTTGTTATTGTTAATGAATTTATTGAGGATTCTAACTCCCCTATCCTTAAGATTATCTTTAGTACTCAATATTATTACTACTTTTCATAGATTATTATTGTGCATATTAATTTTAATTGGGAATAGACTGTTGTTGTTATTGTTATTAGGCCATTTAATTTTGTTATTGCTACTTAGCCTAATCTTATAAATATTTGTTCTTCTATTATCTCTACTAAGCTTGCTGCTGCTATTCAATCATTTATTACTATTGCTATGAATCTGTCAACCCTGTCTAGCTTCCAACCATTTACTTATTTTGATGAATATTCTAAGGATTTCCTTAACCTTAAATCTGAGCTCCTATAGATGGATTTTAATTAGCCTGCTATTAATTCATTATTTGCTATTATGGATTAAATGGTTTATTTTACTATTATTACATGTTATTATATTGCTATTATTGTAATGAATTTGGCTACGGGTTCTGAGATGGAATCTAGTTAGTTTATCCTCCTGACTAGCTCAATCTAAATTGATGTTATTGCTATTGGGATTGCTAATTATTAGGATTCTAGCTTACATGCTATTGTTAACTAGATAAAAGCTATGCAGAAGAATTTAAGCTACTAGGCTAGTGTCCACCCTAACTACTACCAGATTGATTTAGTCCACCCTAAGAGTTAAATTGCTGTTAATATTAATTTAATGGTAATGGTTGCTATTATTAAGGATATTTTGGATTATGTGGATTTTGCTAGTAGTTAAATATTTATTGCTATTATTAATTTTATCCACTATGCTGTAAATTTTACTGTTGCATATTTGGATTTGGATTTGGCTGTTATTGTTATTATTATGCTTATTATTGTTAGAACTATTAACTATTATTTGCATGATTTTTAGATGGTGTTAAATGAGCACTTGAATGAATATTTCTTTCATTATTAGATTAGTGAAGATTCTATCTATTATTTATTTGCTATTACTACTGTTAAATTTATAATGGTGGCTATCTAGAATTAGGTTGTTACTAATGCTGTGTTACACCACTTTGCTATTAAGGTTACTATTATGTATTCATTTATGAGTTAAAAGGAGTAGGATTACCATAACTATCCAAATTACTGTCTTTTCCTTACTAAGCAAGATTTTATTATTATTAAAATGGCTATTCAGCAGCAGGGTTGTATTTTTAACCTACCGAATGACCTGAAGAATGAAGAGACTGTGGTTAAAATTATTTATTTTATTAAGTTTATTATAGTTATGTTTGCTGCTATTTAACAAAGAGCTAATTTTAAACTAAATTTGGATTCTAGGGATTTTGTATTTGAGAATTATGCTACAATAAATTACTTGCTGGCTATTGTGTTTACTGTTGTTGTAATTATTGTTAAAGCTATTGTTGCTGTTAAGACTATTATTATAATTATTGTTACTATAAGTTAGGATTAACTTGAGTTGGTATTTATTATTAAACATTTTGTTATTATTATATCTAATTTTATTGTGACTTTTTTTATTGAGCAGTCATGTTTTTTTATTATTGTAATTGCTACTATTATGCATTTTATTGGAGCTAAATATTTTGATTTTGTTACTTTTGTTAAAAGGATTGTGGATCTTAAGGAATCTAATTTGAACTTGGGATTTGAGGCTAATTTGTCAATTAATTTTAGATAAATTGTTATTGTTGCTTTAAACCTTGTTACTTGATTTGCTGCTAGTTTTATAAAGAAGTTTAAACGTTGTTAGTTTGAGGAGGTATGGGATTTCCTTATACTGTGGGTTGCGCTGGTCCTAAAACTGGGGCAGGAGGAGGATTTTACAAATCTTGCTAGTCGTTTTTTTGGGAAGGGTTCGTTTATGGATTAGCCTTAACTTTTTTGGTGGGCTGTTCTCCTTATTTGATAGAGTTGCTCGTATTTTTACGACGACTGTTTATTGGAGGTTGAGTTGGAGCAGGCTACGGTTAAATTTATTAGTTAGTGGGAAGCTATGCACCTGTTTCTATCTAGGAGCTGCTCGGTTGGTTCAGAGGAGGGAATTAAGACTAAACATTCTGACCCAGTTAAGGCTATATAGGCTGCTGCCCTTTAGTTCCTTAGGGATTTAAAGAGGTTAGTTATTTAGAGGGACTTTAATTTATAAGAGCAGGATTTTAGTTAAATTTAGGGGGTCTATCTTACTCTTACTCTATAACTCGAGGATTTTAGGGTGGTTAGTGACCATTAGCATCAGGTTATGTGAGTTAATTTTGTAGGTAATTAGTACCTTAAGGAATTTGCTATTAACCTCCTGGTATTTACTATTGTTTAACAGGATAGTTTTCTCTACTTTTTTATTCAATTTTATTTAATTAACTTGTGATTGTATTAATTTAATTTTTGAGTTAATTATCTCTTAAAGAAAAATCGTTTTCTATCACGAAGCAATCAGTGATGGGATCGGTAAAAGGATCTCTCAAAAATTGCGTCAAGAGATCAAATTAATCAATATTTTAATTCTTTTGTATTTCTAATTTTTCCTTTAACTTTTACTTGAAATATATTTCAGATGGATGATTGGTAGCTGCTAGCTCTCCTTGTTGTGGATATGCACTCCTTTAAACTTAAGGATGATTGGGCGCTATAGGCTGAGGCATTTAGTTTTGAGGATTCTGTTGCTAATGAAATTAGTTGTAAGGTACTGGCAATGTTGTTGGAATTTGTGCTGCTCCCAATAATGATGATGTCTATCCTACCTGCCCTGGTCCTGCTGCATTATTTGACTGCACTCCCTATCCGCTAACTCCGTTAGGGATATTATTCTATTCTCTTTGATTGGATTAGTTCTGTACTTACTGTTATTAAATTTAAGATTATGTTTAAATTGTATCAGATTCTTCTTTTACTTAATTGCTTGGCTGTCTTTTAGAAGCTTTTTTCCTTAAAGGTACTTCTTTTTATACATTTTATGACGATCCTCTTCTTTTTGCAGTTGTTGTTGTTGTTGTTGTTGCTGCTGTTGTTGTAATATTTGTTGTAGTAGTAGCAGCATTAGTGGGGTTAGCAACATTAGTAGTAGGAGCAGTAGTATTAGCTGCTGTTGCAGCAGCAGGAGGTTAAGATTAAATTTCTTACTATTATTACTGTAATTATTGATCAACTTGAGGTGGTTAAAATTATTATTACTAAATCTGATCTGGTGCTGGTGTTTATGATTTAGTGATTCTCACTTTAGATCCTTGTGAGCTTATTGTAGTTAGTCCATTTCCATTTTATTAGAGATGAGGATACCCAGATGGAGGCATATTTTAATTTTATATCGCATTTGGTAGAGGTTATAATTATTGTTAATTAGGAAAACCTTTTTAGCCTTATTGCGGCTGTCCTGGAATTACCTGACCAGGTTTTAAATTTTATTGCTACTATTGTTAAATATTTTATGCAATTTAATGATTTGGCTTTAATTGCTATTACATTCCTGTTTATTAAGGATTATTTGTGGGTGGTTGTGAGTTAGAAGTAATTTATTAGTTTTATTCATTCATCTGATTCAAATTTGCAGCTGAGTTATTACTTCTTCCTCTTTATTTTTAAACATTTTATTACTGCTAAATTTATAACTAGTTCATGCTTGATGGGTTTTAATTTTACCCATTTTATTAATGGAAATTTCCTGGAACATTGTTTGGTGGTACTTACTGATTAGGAGGTTGTTGCTATTAATTAGATCCTTGCTGCACCTATTGAGGGTTTCCTTATTAGTTTTATGCTCTATTTGCCATCATATTTTGTCTATTATTAAGGTTCATATTAGCAGCTCCAGCACCTGTTTATTGCATATTTTGGTTTTGAATGTGATTTGGTGGAATTTGAGTTTAATTTTATTATTGCATTTGTTGTGAAATATTTTACTGAGAATTCATATTATTTTTTTATGAGTTCAAATCTTATTCTTCTTTTGGGACTTAGGGGTTAGTTTCTCCATTCATTTTCTAATTTTGATTGACTTACATTTAATGATTAACTTAAAAATTATTTTATTGAGGGTTACCTGCTTTATTTTAATTATTCCAATGAGCTCTTTATTGCATATTTGAAGGAGGAATCTAATTTGGTTAGCCACCTTACTTTTATTACTACAAAAGGACTTACTATTACCCCTATTGCTATTGTTATTATTATTACTGCATTTATTATGATTGGGATTGCTAACTCTGCAATTGCTGTTAATTATTTTAATTAATATTTTTAGCTTATTATTATTATAAATGTGCAGGTGGTTGTTATTGTTGTTGCTATTTCTATAATGGATTTTACTATTAATTTGATTGAGTTTAGTAGTTTTGCTATTATTGATTAGGAATTTATGGAGGCTAACCGTTTTATCTACCAAGGTTCTAGCTATGTTATCCTTGGTTAATTTACTACTATTGCTATTGATAGGCATAAGAAGACATTTATTTGGATTAGTCGCTCTATGTTTAAGGCTATCCTTAAGTTGCTGCTCTATTAGCCAAACTTGGACTTTAGTTTGCAGAGTATTGCTGCTAGTTTTAATTAGGCCCATTTATATGACCCTAGCTATATTGTGATGGATGGTGCTAGTTTGAAGGTATTTACTAATTATTTTAGTGGTTGCTTTAACCTTAGTTTGCCAGATTTTATGGATTCTTATTAGAGGCAGTGTATTCGTGAGTATTCTATTAGTATTGCTTTTGCTATTATAATAATTGTTGTTGCTAAGCAGAACTCATTTGTTTGTTTTATGGATTATAAGTTTATCCAGGATTAGCAGCTGAAGAACTAGAAGGTGCTAAATTGCTGCTATTGGGATTCATTTAACCGTTCATAGAGTATTTTTGTCCATTTTAAGGCATATTTTACTACATTTGCATATTATGTGCTTACTAAGGATTAAGCTATTAAGATGGCTACTGTTAACCATTTTGATGCTAATTGATAGGTTAAATAGAGTTATTTTTAGTATTATAAGGTTGTTACTACTATTTTTGCGCTGAATACTATTGTTAATCTAAATATTACTATTTATTTGGTACATTATTTAACAAGGGCTAGCCTTCTTAGTAGTCTTACTAATTCTGCTACTAGCCCTATGGAGGAATTTATTTAACTTGTTGATTACTTTACTAAGGATTTTATTGCGTATTTTGTGATAAACCTCCTTACTGCATTCTACCTGCTTAATTGTAGTTATTATACTATGGGTGATTATTAGCTTATTAGTGTTAATTCTAGTTTTCTTAATTTGGTGCTTGCTGTTGGCTAATTAAAGTGATAAACTTACTGATTGATTCCTTGATTTATGGATCAGGCTTTGCTTAGATAAAACAGTCTATAATTTCCTAAGCTTGTGGATTGCTTTTCTTAACTGAATCAAAGAGCTACACTTAATTGTTTTTGTTCTTAATTAACTCGCTAGCTTAAGTATTTATTCTAGTTAAGAAAGAATAAAGCCAGCTCATTAAATTTTTTTGAAATATCTCAACATAATTAATGCTGATATCGCTTAATTTTTACTCAAGATAATTTTCAAATTCTTTCTTTTCAATTGCCCTCTAATTAATATCTTATAATTGATCTCGAGGCTTGTTAAATTCGTTAAGATAACCCTCATAAATCCATGTTATTATATTAATTTTCATATTTTCTGAGCAAACTAGCTACTTTGATGATGGACATGATTACGATTAGGTAAGAGATTGGAGTATTCTTTTGGAAAGCATAATAACCAGTTTTTTTCAATCAGCTTGTTACCTAAATATTAAATTTAACTATGAGTTTACACCTAGCTTTTATATTTTAAGTTAAATAAGTAATTTAATATAAAATTTTTGAAATTTGTGCACTCTTTTTAGAATTTAAGAAGAAGAAGATGAAGATTGAATTTGCGTGCTTAATTATTTCAATATCACTTATATCTCTATCTCTTCTCTCTTTCTTTCTTTCTCTCTTTTTTTCTTATTAATTTTCTTTTGATTTTTATGATGATTAATATAGCTAAATGCTATATACAAATTATACAATTATAAAAAGGCAAATTAAACAAACTAATTAATTCAATTCAATTCAATTAAATACATGCAAAATAGATGGGAGGGAATCAATAAATTATGTTTCCTTTTATCTTATTTGTTTTTTTTTTGTTTGCTTTTGTTTATTTATTAAAATATTAATTTATTTATTTTTTTATCATTTCTTTGCCTTTTGTTTAGTAGTTTTCTTTCTTATATTGTTTGTATATTAATATATGTATGAAGAATGTATGTATGTATTTATTTATTTGTTTATTTATTACTTTATTTACTATTTGCTTGCTTTATTTATTTAATAACTCTATAAATATTTCCTTTTTAATTTATTATAAAAATTGGTGATAACAAGCTGCTGTCATTCCAAGCTACCTTTTGTATAATTACTTCATCTTTCTTTCCTCTCTCATTTATCTCTCTCCTTGCCTCTTCTTGGATAAAAACTGCTTAAATAATTCATTCATTTATTAATTAATTAGTTAGCTCCCTCTTTATTTTTAATTAGGTTATTAATTTATTCATCCTTAAATCATAATTTATTCATTAATATTTTATTCTTTTTCTTTCATAAATTGTTAATTCATTCATTTTCTCGCTCAAAAATTAGCAACTTATTAATTTATTAATTTATTTCATTCATTTGTCTTTAATTTTTGTTTCTCTCTTTTTTATTACTTTTAAATGTATTGCAAAGTACCTTTCTTTACTTTATTATTTTTCTTTCACATTTCAAATCAAAGATATATTTTCAAAAATAATTAATAAATTTCCTCAATCAAATTAAAGTCGATGTATTTAACATATCCTTATTTTTTTAAGAGAAATTTTTAAATATCTCTCTATCTACTTATAATATTTACAATAGCTTTGATATCGCTATAGCTCTTATTCAATTTTGCTTCTAAAAAAGCATCAATTTAATCAAAAAGAATTTTCAATTCTTTTATTGCTAAACTACTTAAGTATTTTCGCAAAATTTATTTGTCCTAAAACTTTTTTTTTTAAGCTATTTATTGAGCAAGATAGATTAGAGCAACAATTTTAATTTTTCGCTGTAAATAGCATTGCTTTAAGGACTGGTTTTATATTTACTAAGTATTTTCCTTTCAAATTTTTAAAAAATCTCCAATTATCTCTCTGTGATTATTTTCAAAGAACTTTAAGGCACCTACTAACGTTAATACTGATAAAAAAGGAGTAAGTGAAAAATTACAAAATTAATGTGTGTGATTTATTTTTGTAATTACAATTAAACTTTCATAAAATTTGATTCTAATTTGAATCTAAATACGCCTTACAAATAGCTTATCCAAGAAGCTTAAACAAACAGCTTAATTTTATGTTAATATGTCTATATTTGCTCACGCTTTTTGAATATTTTACAGCAGAAATACTTCAAGCAAAAAAGTATGAGCTAAATACTTAGTATTGTAACACTGAAATGTGGTTAAAAGATGGTTCATTCAAAGTTTTGGTTTACAAATTTCAGCCCTTGCAAAAAAAATTATAAATGTGTTATTAAATATTAGTAATAATTTTTCTAAGCTAGTGCAGGCTGTAATCTGTAAATCAATTAGCCTTTATGAGAAATACTGAGTTTGGTAATTAAATAAATCATAGTTCGAGCTATATGGAGAAACAAGAGATTTTTATTTGAATACTAGAGTTATTATTGTTTTAGGTAAAGAAAATATGTGTGGACATGGGAGGAAATAATATTATTGTAATGAAAAGGTATGTAAGCGAATTATCTATGTGCTGTAAAATACAGTATCTACAATATTAAATCAAATTTTATTAGTTTTTTGATAAATTTAATTATGAAAGTGTGGTAATTTTGCAGCTACCTTTTACATTAATGGTTCTACTTTCATACTGCAAAAATAGAGTATGTTTTTTTAATATCTTGTTTTACTAGAGTTATTATAATTTCTTATTCATCAAGGCTAAGCTTTTCTTCTGATGATAGCTAGCGATTACTTTATTATTAGAGTATTTGAATAGCGAGGATATTGCTTGCAAAGTTTTTATTAGCAAGAAAGAGGGTAAAAAAGATTGAGAGAAAAGTGGAAGAAGTGACATAAAAAGTGAACTGGAGAAGTTGCGGCTAGTGAAGGGCATGATAAATATGAAATTGAATTGAATTGAATTTGAAAAGAGAGTAAAATTTAATGAAGAAAGAGTTTGGTTCTTAAAAATATAAAAAAAGTAATAGTAAAAATAAAGAAGAAGATCTTTTACTAAAATAGGCTCAGATTTCTATTTTACTTAAATGATTTCCTTTTTCAATTTTTTATTTAAATATTAATTGCTTCTCTCCTTAAAAGGCTTGATCACTATTTTTGTTTTTTTTCTTTTTAATTTATTATGACTTGTTTTAATTATTTTTACAAATTTTCTTTTATTGGTTTTAGCTTTCTCTCCTGTCGGGATTTAAATTAGACACTATCTTTTCATTTCGTCATCTAATTAAAGCTAAGTTAATTAGTCAGTCAATCTCAAATGAAAGTACTTAAGTTCCTAATAATACCAAATAAATATTCATAAATCAAACAAGCACTTAGCCAATAAATAAATTAATAAAATATATAAATTATTCAATTCATCTAACAAGCGAAAGAGCAAAAAAACACTTTTTTTCATTCATTTCTTTCATATATTTTTTTTCACAAATCTATATCATGCTATTTCTATACAAATTTTGTTAGTTCACTTCTTTATTTCAATTCTCTAAAGTCCCTCTATTATAACTAAATTACCTTCTGATTTATTCAATATACTCATACATTCATTCATAAATCATTCAATCAGTCTAAGTTCATCACTTTGCTTTCCATTACTTCAGCTCGCTTATTCTTCCCTTATCTTACCAAATTTAGTTTTTATTTTTTTTGCAAATATTCCTTTCATTTATCCTAATAATTTAGAATTAAGTATTTGTCTTTAAATTCATAGTTAATCCATGTAATTTATTTAGTATTTTGTAATAACCTTTATCAAACCCATTGAATATTCGTTTATATCATTCATTTACATTTTTTATAAAGCTTTTCTAGCCTATAGGCAAATTATGTATAATAAGGTTATTTTGCTTATCTTTTTTTGTTTTCCATTTATATTCCTTCAACTTAAATTTTCATTTCTACCCAACTACTTTTCCCTTAAACATAAAATTACCAAAGCCATTTTATTCTTTCCATTTTTTATTATTCGACATAGTTAAAATATTTTAAATTAATTGCTAAATTGCATCCCAAAAAAATAATAAATTAACAAATTTTAATTTAATCTGAAAAAAAAAAATAATACTTTCAATTAAAATATTTTATATTTAATTGATTCACTTTAAAAAAATTTTATATTAATTAAATAAAATATTCAGCTTAAAATTAGAAACAAAAACCATAATACAAAATACTCAAAAAATGAATATTTTTAATTAATTTACCTCAAAAAAATATTAATTATACTGTTTAACCCATAAATTATTTAATTTTTACTTTTTTAAATTTATTTAAGCATTATCATTTAGAAGTAAGTAATGATGACAAAATTCCCAAAATGCCTATTTGAAGCTTGCTTCAAAAATGAAGGTTAATCCAATTTGCCACTGATATATTATTAAAATCATTTATAAATTCTTTTTGTTCCAAGCATTTCAATTACATTTGTTTATTTATTTATTTCAAACAAACATACACATTTTCTTAAAAACATACTTGCTTTCAAATAGCCTAATAAATATTTTGTCTCAAGTTACTCATTTCACTATTTAATTTCTACTTATAAAATCACTTTTATCCCGCAGTTTTTATTATCTTTTTTCTCATCAATTTATAATTCAGCAAATAAATTTTTTAATTTTTAACAAATGTTTTGAAATGATTTTTTAAGATTTTTTTAATTCTAAAAGAAAACACATATTTGATTACATTCCATTTATTTAAAGTAAGTCAAAACTAATTTCTAAAATTATCAAAAACCCTTGTTCTTCTACTTATTTTCATAAAGCGCGCTATTTATTTTATTTAAATATTTTTGATGAAATTTATTATTTTCGCAAAATTTATTATCAAAATCTGTATGAAATTGGTTTCCTTTTAATATCTAAAAAGCTCAAAAATCAAAGCTGTTTTATTTCTAAAATTTCATTACCTATTTGCTTCTTACTTTTTTTGTTTTGAATTTTAAAACTTTTAGTTTTCAATCAATAATTTTATATTATAAATAATTATTTCTAATATTTTAAATCAAAATTTACTCAATAAAAATAAAGTAAAATACTTCCTTTAATCTAATAAAATAGAAGTTTGTAATAACTTTTATGTTCATTTACAATTATTTTCATTCATTTTAAAATTAAAAAAATATGAGTAAATTTCTTTCCATTAATTTATAAGTAAACTTATATCTATTTGTAGATATAAAAGATAATTATCACTATTCTAAAATTATTATATTTTATATTAATTATTTTTTACGACTAATTAACAATATATTTAACAAAATAATTTAATATCTTTTTTTCCTCTCCAAATCTAACAAATTTATTTGGTAAATAGATATTCTAATACCTCTCTATCGCAGTTTAATAGGTGCTCATTTATTTCAAATTAAAGATAAAATTAATTGTTTTTTACTGTGAATCTTAAGGTTATATATAATGTGAACACTCACTGTTCCATCTAAGCAAAAATAGATGAATTTCATGCAAAAAAATTCATTATTCTTTGTCAGCTGCTGTATATTTTCCATTCAAATTTTTCAAAATATCATAAATTATTTATACGATATAAAATATTTGTATGTCTAAACCATTTCTATATTGTAATGATTTTTTAAATAAGAATTATTTTTAACTCCTATAGGTGTAAAGAAATAGATTTTTTTATTTAAATTACCCTATCTCTATGAAAAACCTGCTGAATTTAGATTATGGAAGGGAAAGCAAAATAATCAGAACTTATTTTAAAGTTATCAACTTGATATAAATTAAATATTAACAATTCTATAAGTAAATTATATTAAATAATTTAAAAATTATATATTTTTGTGAACTTAAGATATTAATTTATTATAGATTTTAATTTTTACAAAAAATATGGTTACAATATTAATTTAAGTTATGCATTTGCGGCATAAATTTTCTTATCCTTTGAGTATTTAATTATTGTATTTAAAGTTAATAAAAATAAGCGTGCACTCAATAAAATAAAAAAACTTTGAGGAAATTCTGTTGTTATTTAATGATTATAAATAAATTAATTCTAATTGAATTGGCAAAAAAATTAAAATATAAAATTTAAATAACTAGGATAAAAAATATTATTGGAATTTATTTTAGTTTTCAAACACATATTTAATTTTTTTAGTTACGCTCACAGTCAAAAATTTTATATTTGGCTAATTTTTTCATACAAAGAGCTTTTTTATTATTATTTGATAAAATTCTTCTGTAATTTAATTTACACTTTTACTATTTTGATATAAAAATAAGCTTTTTTATTATTATTTGATAAAATACTTATGTATTTTAATTAACACTTTCACTAACTATTTTGATAAAAAAATATTGATATAAAAAACTTAAGAGAAACTCACGATAATAAGTGAAAGTTGGTATTAATATAACCAAAGTAAAACTTAAATGTAATAAAAATAAAGTAAGCAAGATTAAATAAGAAATTAAATAAAATAAATTTCTTTTGAATAGAAGTAATAAATCGAAAATTAAACATTTCTTCTTACTAGACAATTTATACATTGCTTAAAAATCTAGATTAAAAAACAACAAAAATAAGTGTCAAAGTTATTAAATTATTACTATGAGATAAACAGAAGTCAATTTTCATATTAATACATTACCAATTTTATATTTGCTTTTAATATTTATAAAAAAAATATGATTTAACTATTAAAAAAATGGATATAATTAATAATGAAATATAAACTTGAATAAATAAATAAACTATTGAGCTTAAATAAGAAATCCAACACTATGAATATTGCAATAAAATAAGTAATAAAATATAAATTTAATTTGTTTCCCATACTATCAAATTCATACATAAATTTCATGATTGTTTTTCAAAGTTTAAATAGCTCTAAATAATCATATGAAAGCATTGAATTAATAAATAAGCTATTGTGCTTAAATAAAAAATCCAACGCAATGAATATTGTAGTAAAATAAGTAATAGAATAAAAATTTAATTTGTTTTCCTTACTATCAAATTCATACATAAATTTTAATATTTTTTTTCAAAGTTTAAATAGCGCTAAATAATCATAAGAAAGCAATTAAATATTTTTATATAGATTGATTGATCAAATAAAACTAAAGATTGATCTATCTTCATCATTTTTTTATTTTATCTTTTTAAATCTAGAATAAATATGTTAGTTTGTATCAAAATAATTTAGAAAAATATGAAAATAATAAAAATTGATAAAAAAGTAACTAAATTTCAAATTTAAATTTAAAAAGAAATAAATTTACTAAGAAATCATGTAAAGTAATTCGCATTAAAAAGTAAGTAATAGTATAAATATTTTGCATAAATAGCTAAATTGTGAATTTATATTTGAAATAGCTAATAAAATCAAAATAAATAAGCATTTAAAAGCTATACATCAAAATAATTAATGTCTTCTATAATATTTTTAAGAATTGTAAGCATCTTAAAATTCAAATCTTTATCTGATAACAATTTAATTAAAAATCCATTAAATAAAATCCTTATTACTACAAATTCTATAAATGTATCTTTGCTGTTATTAAACAAGTAGTGGTATAAAAAATTAGCACTTTTTTTTACTAATTCATTCAATTATTAATTACTTTTCAAAATTAAAAAATAACTCAAATTGTTTATAAAAGCAAATATACTATTTTTATTTAGATTACTCAGAATTGAAAGATTATTGAACTAAAATAAATCAGGTAAAGGTTTAGTCTATTTTGTGCATTAGTTAAATTTTTGCTTCTTACATTTAGGAAAATAGTGTGATATAAAATATAAAATTTGGGATAAGCATAGAAAAAGAAGTAGGAGTTTGGAATCAATTTTGATTTAAAGATAAGAAATAAAAAAATAAAGTCTAATTAATATCCTAAAAAATTAATGAAATTTAAATTTTCATTTTTAAGTATTTTATTCATTCAGTTATTAATCACTTTTTTACTTTTCTAAATAAAGGAAAACAAAAATTAACAAATTAATTATTACTTATCAGAAATTACTATCAGAAATCATTATACAGGGCTAAATTAAAATGAAAGTCTTTTTTACTTTTATTATTAGCTTAATTGATGATGAAACTTGAGGATCTTGTAGATTGGTACTTACATTTTTATGAAGTAGCTCATTCTGATCCTGACCTCATTTGGAGTTTATATTCAAAAGTAGACCTCATAACCTTTCTAATTTGTCTTGGCAGGTCAACAAAGTCTCTAGCCTTACAAATTTTTAAGATTTTAGAAAAGTTATTCTAAAACTTTGCTGCTACTACTACTTCTTGTTATCATAATATGACAAAACTATTGTTATTGATTCTGAAACATTAGATTTAACTTTAAAAGTATTTTAAAAGATAAAGTAGAGAAATATAATTACAATAATAATTATGTTATTAATAATTTATTTTATTTTGCGTAGCTTAATTTTATCTCTATCAAGTATTAATAATAATAATAATAATAAATAAAAGAAATACTTGATATTTTTAAAAGCTTAAAAAAAATTAATTAATTAAGAAAATTTTACTTTTTTTATTTGATTTCAACTTCAATAAAAATAAATTAAAAATATTAAATTTTTTATTAATAAAGATATTATAAAAAATAAATAATGTAATTTAAAATTATTAATTTTAATTTAAAAATGATAAAAAAAATCTTTAATGCCTAAATTTATCAAATTGTTATTTATAATATTAATCTAATTTACTTATACAAAAAAATTTATAAAATTTAATTTGAATACCAGCTAAATTAGAAAGGTATTTGCTTAAATAAATTATTTGGTGAAAGCAAGTTTAAAGTGTTAACCAATCTAATTAAAGCAGTTTGTATTTTTTTTGTTTTTGCGTTCTCAAGAATTTATTTCATGAAAGTGCTATTTATTTCGAATTATCTAAGTAATATGATATAAATTAATAATTTTTGCAATTTTTGATAAGGGAATAAACAAAGATTGGCTTTCTACCAATAATATTATGTAGTATATTAAAAATCAAAATATTTTTATTTGTATAATTACTATGTTTTAATATAATTATAGTTATTTAAAATATTAAATTAATATGCTTATATTTATTCTATTATTGAATTTTAAAAATTATATTTAAAATTTGGATATTTAAATGCGAGAATTACTTTTAATTGTCATTAAAAATCTTTTCAGCTTACTTTGATTTAAAATATATTAAATTAATGTTAGGCTAAAATATAGATAAAGCTTTTCTTCAGCTTTTAAGACTATCCTCATCAGTAATTAATTACTTTGAATTTTGATTTAATCTATATTTTTTTTGTTTTTAAATTCATTATTGCAATTCTATTAAAAAATGTTTTAGAAAGATATTTATTAAAATATAAAATCATTTTTATCAATTTTAAAGGAAATAATTGCCAAATTTTAGAGGATTCTTTTCAAATCAATTTGTGAGAACAAGTATCATATTACAGTATGAAATTATTAGAATTACTTTGCTGTGATGATGAATTTAATTATGATAAATATAATCTATCTTCACTTGTTGCTTTAGAATGAAAGTATTAAATTAATGGTAATATTAATATATATAAATATCCATTTGATATTAAGTAATTGAATTGAAGATCAGGTGTAATAATCATTACCATATAACACAATTTTAATAAAAATACCTAAACAAAAAGATTGCGTATAATTAAATTCTGATGCTTTTCAGAATATTTTTGACAAAATCTTTTAGGAGTCACTGTAAGGTTCTGAAATCAAACTTGAAATAAGAATAGATGAATGAATTAATTTATTTCTACATTAGATATTTTTAAACTCAAGACTTAAGAATAAAAATAAAATATTTATTCAATAAAAGTTGAACATCTTTCTTTCCTTCCTTCCTTTTTTCGTTCATTCATATTAAGAATAAAATTATTGTTTTAATATTGTTCTCTCAAATATTAATTGCTAAAAATCAAAAAATATAAATTTTTGTCAAAATTATTTAAATTGCTTTTTCCAGATTAATTTAGAAAGGAAAAATATTCACCTAAATTTGACAAAAGAATTAAAATTAGTATCTAATTAAATTAGAATCTTTAAAGTGAAGTTGACTCAAATAAAATTAATATTCCCACTTCTTATTTGCTTTCTACCTTTAAAAGTTGACAACATTAAGCGATTTTCTCAAAAGAAATTAATTTAAAAAAATATTAAAAGCAAGTTTCTGATTTAGAAAACAAAAAAAATAATCTAAATGCAATTATTAATAATTTTCTCTGCAATTTTCTGCTTAGCTGCTGCCTAACTCATCCAAGAATGTCCTGCAGATGGTAGAATGGTCAAATGTGCCACCAACTCTGCTTAGGTCTGTGGTATTAAAGGTAATGGAAAATTGATCAAGCACACATTCATTAACCACTGCATTGCTTGCCAAATCGGAAAGGTTGATTTCACTGTAAGCGGAAAGTGTGAAGATTACCACCCTGAAGCTAACTTTTGCTCTCCTGCTGAAAACAGAGTTGAAAACTGTACCAACGATGTCGACATCTCTTGTGCCTACTTCAATAAAAATATTAAATGTTTTGTCCCTCCTTGCACCATTTAAATCGAAAACAGATGCCAAGCATGTGTTTCCCCTAACATCTTATATACAATATAAGGAAACTGCAAAAATAACATTTGAAATAAAATTGAATATTTCTAGATTCACATTAAATTTGATTAACTTATTATTTATGTGTAACTAGATGCTTATCTGCATATATTAAAGTACTCGTTAAGTATTGTAAAATCGTATTTTATATCTGACTCTATTTAATTTAAAAAGTTGATTCTATCAACCTGTTAAATATATACAAAATTCATCAATTTTCTTTAATGCGATTAACAATTAAAATGCTTAAATTTTTAAAAAGATATTTACCAAATTAAATAAGCAATCCTTTATAAATTAAGATTCTATTTCCTGATTAATGCTTTATAAATATTTTTTTGAATTTAAAATTTTCAACTTAAGAATTTATCAGCTTTAATTAAATACTCGATTCATAATTGTTATGAATTAATTATTGATTTTTTCCTTCAAATTTTTTCTGATATGTATAATTGAAAATAAATCATCTCAGAATAAAAAAGAAAACTTAATTTTAAGTCAAAATTTAAAAAAATATCATACAGATTAATTTACAAGATATCAAATTTTTTTAAAATAAAAATAGGAATTAAATGTGAATACTATTTTTTTGCAAATAAATATATTTAGAATCTAAATTTATTAAAAAAAGCACTACAGATTTATCATTAAATAATACCACCTGCAAATTCTTATTATAAAGAGAAATTATATTACATTAAATGATATTTAAATAATTTCTTATCTGCTATCAAGATTTCCGATGAATTTTTTTTATTTT